TTTTTAAATAGAAAATTTTAAGACACCTACCCTGAGGCATAAGAACTAATAGATGAGTTCAGGCTGGGTTGCAGGATACTTAATTACAAATACAGAATTACATCTTTAGACATTTGCAATGAACAATCTAAAGAACTACAATTCCATTTACAGTAGCATCAAAAAATTTAAAATATTTGGAGTAAATTTGACAAAAGTGTAAAGCTTATTCTTTGGAAATTACAAATACCTTTGAAAGAAATTATAAATTTATGTGCATGAAAAGATATGTCATGTTTTTGGATGAAGACATAATATAGTCATGATGCAACACTCCCCAAGTTGGTACACAGATTCTGTCACAATCCATCTGGCTTTGCAGAAATCGATGAGTGGATCCTAAAATTCATATGGAAACTCAAGAGACTAAGAATAGCCAAAACTATCTTGAAAAAGAACAAAATACGTGCATTCACATTTCCAAATTACAAAACTTACTACAAAGCCAGCAGCAAGTAAAATAACAGTAGTGCATAGAGATGACTTTTAGATTAATGGAAAAAAACCTGATATCCAGAAATGAGCCTCTTTAACTCAAAGTCAATTGATTTTCAACAAGCTTGTCAAAACAATTCCATGGGAAAGAATGATCTTTTTAGGATTGCTGCTGGGACAACTGTATATCTGTAAAAAGGAATGAATTTGCACACCCTACTACACACCATAGATTAAAATTAACTAAAATGGATCAGGTAACTAAATTTAAGAGCTAAAGTAATAAAAACTCTTAGAAGAAAATATTTGTGACTTGGGATTTGGCAATTTAAAAAAAAATATGAAACCAAAAGCAAAAACCAAAAAGGAAAAGAGAAAAAAATTACATAAACTGGGTTTGTGCAATTATCCTTTTAAGGACAAGATCCAGAAAATGAAAAAAATGGGAGAAAACATTTGCAAATCATAAAAAGCACTAATACCTAAATTATATAAAGAACTCTTTCAACTCAATAAAAACATGAACAACTAAATTTTCTTTCTTTCTTTCTTTCTTTTTGTGGTGGTGCTAGTGTTTGAACTCAGGACCTATACCTCGAGCCATGCTACCAGCCCTTTTGTATGAAGGTTCTTTTTTTGAGATAGGGCCTCATGAACTATTTGCCCAGGCTGGCTTTGAACTGCGGTCCTCCTGATCTCTGGCTCCCAAGTAGCTAGGATTACAGGCGTGAACCACCTAGCAAAATAGCTAAATTTTTAAAAGGACAAGGTTCTGAATGACTATTTCTTCAAATAACATATACCAATGGCTACTTGTATTTTGAAAGATTCTGAAAATTTTTAGACATTAGGAAAATACAAATCAAAGCCATAGAGAAACACTAGTTTATGCTCAATAGAATGGCTATAATAAAAATTCATGGGTGTTGGATGTGGAAATATTAGAACCTTTGTCCTCTGTGCCTGGGAATGTAAAAGGTGCAGTTACTCAGAACACAAAGTAGCAGTACTCAAAAATTTAAACACAGTGTAACCAGTTGAACCAGCAATTTTACTCCAAGGTCTAAGAGAAATGAAAACATATGCCCACCCCTTAAATTAACAGCAGAATTACTTATAATAGTCAAAGGTAGAAACAAACCAAATATCTGTCAACCAATGAACAGATAACCAATTGGCACATCTACATAATGGAATATTATTTGACCATAAAAAGATTGAAGTATTCATAACATGCTACAGTGTAGACAAACCTTGAAAACATAATGCTGAGCAAAAAAAGCCAGTTATGAAAGAACACATAATACAAATGATTTCATTTGTATGAAATGTTCAGAATTAGGTTAGTCCAATATAGAGTGACAAAACAGAAAACAGATTTTTTAGGGGTAGGGGATATTGTGAGTAATAGCTAAAGGGTATAGGATAGATTTCTCTTGGGAACAATGGAAATGTTCTAAAATTGCTTATGGTGGTGGTTGTACAACTTAATAAATATATTAAAAATATTGAATTCTGCACTATAAGGAAGTGAATTATGTAGTGTGTAAATTGTATTTCCTTTAAGCTGTTACCAAAAAAACATGCATTTGCTGTCGTAAATTCAAGCTTGCTTCTAGGAACAAAGCTCTCTTTAAGAAGGAAGGGACTCTTGGCAAAAAGGGAAAAAAAGAAAGCGTTCTACAACAAATAGAGTAGACAAGGACTTCTGATACCATCATGGAAAGAGACTCAGGGGCCAGAGAGAAAGGGCAGTGACTCAGAGCATTGTAATATATCTTAAAGCATTGTAGCTGATGCAGTGTTTGTACAGTTTCTCATAACCTACCACCTGTATTCTTTTCTTTTTTTTGCTTTTGATAGTATTGGGGATTGAACTCAGGGTTTCATGCAAGCTAGACAGGCACTTTATCACTTGAGTCATGCCACCAATCCATTTTTTGCATTGGCTATTTTTGAGATAGGGTCTCACTTTATGCCTAGGCCATCCTTGACTGTGATCTTTCTATTTGTGCTTCCTTGCACAGCTGGGATGACAGGTGTGCACCACTCTATCAAGCCATTGGTTGAGATGGGGTCTTACAATCTTTTTGCCCTGGCTGGCCTTGAGCCATGATCCTCCTGATCTCTGCCACCCAAGTAGTCAACATTTCAGGCTTGAGCCACCCATGCTTGGCTTATCTGTAGTCTTTTAGCAGCAAATCTTTAAAACTAAAATGTTCAAGCAAACATAGTGTGGTACGCTCAGAACAGGTTCTGGAGTGAGACTCCTTGTATTTGAGTCCCAGTACTAACATTTTGTAGGTAAGAAAATGTTTTCTGCTGGGCAAGATAAATGTCTTCAGTGCCTTAGTCTCTCCATATATAGTTGTACTGTTCAGTACAGTAGCTACTTGCCCCACAAGGACTGAACACTTGAAATATGGTTAGTTCAAGTTGAGATGTGCTGTATGTACGAAAGGCAAGTCCCAATTTGAAGACCTAATCATTCCCCCAAAGTAGAATATCCCAACAATAATTTTATATGAATTATACATTTATAGTATAATACTTTGGCTATACTGAGATAAATAAAATATCTTATTAAGATTAATCTAACCTGTTTCTTTTTTCTCTTAATGCAGCTACTAGAAATTTAAAAGTGTTCATTTGACTCACATTTTATTTCTCTTGGACACTGTTGATCTATAATGTGGAAGTAATAATATTACCTGTTATGTATGGTTATGGTGAGGGTCAAGTGATCTAAGATATATAAAATGCTTCAAAATACAGAGCACATAGGAAGCACTAAATCAGTGTGGGCTTTAGCACTGATTTAAAAGTAGTTAGGTTCAGAGAAACAGGGAGCAACTTCTGGGCAGTACTGTTACACAAGACAGGATTAACAGTCACAGTTTATAGGAGAGAAGCCAGGCTGAATCCTTAAGGCCAACAGGAAATAGCTGGCTGGGCAGAGGCCTAAAGAGTCACAGCAGAGGTGGACCATGCACTTTCTAGACAGACATCTTCACAAAAGACAAAGGTCTTCTCCTGTTTGTGACAGTGAAGTGGCCAGAGCTAGAGGGATGATACTGAAGGTGACAGTTGTTTTTCTGGCTCCAATATCTAATTTCCAAGTGCAGGATATAGTCCATGTCTCTCACATTTCTATCTTGCTTATCTAAAAAGGGGCTATTGTTTGTCCTAGGCTTCTGTGTTCCTGTTTCTCAGAAGCATGTTAGAGTGGCTATGTACTGGACTGCCCAGTCTCTAGTGGGTAGGCAGGTATTTGGCTCAGCCAGTCAGAAAAGCAGATGGGAGGTAGGGAAAGTGCTCATGTCCAGGGCACCACAGTCAACACTTATAGGGAAATGATTATTTTACATTTCCCAGAGGCAGCTGTGACTTAAACAAGCCATGGCTGCGGTTCCTCAGTGCACTGCATGGTTAGCGTATGCCCCAATCAACTTGCCCTCTGTAAACTTGGGATCTGTGGAGTGCTTCCTCTAAGCCAGTTCTGCCACCTTCCTTGCTCCATCCACCCTCAGTTTCTGCCTACTTTCTCCCTTTTCAGTAACCAGTCTGGATGGGATGAAAACTGGGGTCAATCTTGATTTCAAGCTCCCAGCTCCTGAAGAGGTTTGACTGTCAAGGTTTTCAGTTGCCCATTCTCCAAAAAACTTTGAGCTTCCATCTAGAGACATGGTCTACTCTGCCTTGCAATAGCTCAGCTGTGTGTATGTGGGGTTCAAAGTAATGAAAGACAAAAAGAATTCAATAAGATGCCCACGTATTTATTTCATCACATTTCATTTTCAATTTACAACTATTAGAGGGCTACCTAAACTTTTATTTATTGTTTGTGTGTGTGCTTAGTGGACAAATAAGCACCTGATGTTTTGGGAAGAGTTTATTCAATAAACATATCTGTTTCATTAATAAATATTTTAAAATATTTGACATGGCTTGTATAATTCATACAAGTTATTTGACTTCACATTATTGAAATCCAAACTCATCCATTTCTTGAAGCAATGTTCTCTCAGTCATTATGGCTACTGTGCAAATGTAGTCAAACAGGTTTGAGTTCTACCACAAGTGAGGCAGAGATAAAGTAATGACTATATGAGACTGTCTCTTACAAAGACCAGTGTTCCACATTACAGTCTCAAAAAAGGCATAGCATAAAAAAAAAAAATCAAATGGAGTTTCTGAAATGGGTTTTTTCATATTCTTATCTGCTAATTCCAAATTTTTTAGGGCTGGAGGTAGAGATCTGAATGGCTTCTAAGCAGCTTCACTGCATGGGCAGTAGAGAGATGAAATGATATATTCTAATTCTGTGTGACTTCTACATTAATGCTTAGTAAAACTAACAATAACAGAAGACATAAATATTAATTCTTGAGGTTGACTAACAAAATTCTTTTAAAAATCTCATGCCCACACACTCTCTGAATCCACCCCCCCCCGAAACAAAAACAAAAAGAAGAAAAAAATGGCCTTTCTTTTTCTGATCAGGCAACGAATTTTATAGAAAGGAAGCCAAGCTTCAGGTTTTATCTTCATATACACTGACTGAAAATAGAAACAAAACTGGATTCTTGCAAGTGTTTGTGGTTTTGTTCTTTTCTTTTTGAACAAACACTAGTTTCTTCTTAGAGCAGAACTATTCCCCGTGTGCTAGATGGGATTTGAGAGAGGTATAAGAAAATAAGAATGCTGTTGACAGTGTCACGTGACCTCTCAGAGTGACACTGTGGGTAGTATACCGAATAGGCCCAAATTTAATCAATTGAAGTTTTTCATTGTTTTTTACAAAAATCTTAAATACAGGTAAATATGTAAACACTGTGCTCTCAGAGAGCAAGTACTTAGGAATATCATGTCATATCCCTTTTGGGGAGACAAATTCAAGTGAAACATCACCAATCAGTTTCAAAACCATCCACCAGAACTACTCTCCGGTTGAGGGGCAAACACCTCCTTGCACATCTCAGAGTTCTCTTGATGGAGTGGGAATTCACATCCTGCTAAAGTGCTTTCTTTGCTTTTCCGAGAGACATAGCCTTTGCCTGTAGACAGCCTTTCATACTTTGTCTCAAATTGCCTGCGTAACAAAGGCAGCAAAAACAAAATTAGACACATTACAGTCATCCCACACCTGTCCCAGCCACGTTTCTGAGTGTGCACTTCAAACTTCTGTCCCAAAGCTATTTGAGAAAGGAATTGTGTGCAGCCCAACTCCCATGAGTGTAATGGTTTCTTCTTCCCCTTGGTTTTTATACCAATAAAGACATTTCTAATGCATGGGACACGGGAATCCTGCCACATATTTCTCTGGAATGAAGGACTGAATTCCTTTCATGTCTTTGGGGATGCTATTAAGCTTTTCAGGCTGTGCTATGTCTCCCACCCTTCATTCCAGAAGATCCATCTTGGGGGCACTCCCCTTTAGAGTAAATAGCAAGTCCAACCACAAACTGAAAATGTTGACAGGGAAATATTCTCAGTGGTCTGGCCTGAGAAAAATGTGGAACCAAACAGATAGCCACATTGCTGGGTGGGTTGTCACTGCGTTTTGACCATTAGAAGTCTGATATTTTAAATTACATTTATGGATGTTTATACTAGACAAAAGTTAGTATAAGTAATGACAGTTTGATAGTCTAAGTGTAAATCACTATCATTTATTACATGAAAATATAATCTACTCACATTTGTACTTAAATCATTGATGTAATTCTTATAGAGATCATGAAATGTCAATAAAATAAAGTGCTCAACTCTGGTCTAGTTATCGAAGGAGATGGTATAAATTGTGACTTGCCAGTTTAAATATTAAAATTGCCTTATGGTTAGATAGTATGTTAAGGAAACTTTGACAAGTACTCAGAAGAGTTGGTGCTACTTAGACCCAAAGCATTCTAGCTCCGTGGGACAGAACTGTTACAAGATTCAAGGACGTAGCGTTAATGAGAGTTAGGCTCTAGAGTAGAAGAAAGGTCGTGAAGTTACATAGACACTTATATATTTGGCTTTTAAAGCACTAAGCATTCTACTAACACATTTTTTAAAAATCCCAAACTCTCAACCTTGAGTGCAAACCTAAACAAAGTCAAGTTGCTATTGCATGCAATATCTAAGAATTTGGTCCCTTAAAACATGGTAAATGGATCACCAGGTATTTTGTTTTGAACTTTCTGTCTAGGAGACAATTGTGAAGGTAAATGTGCATCTGGTATTTTTGTTGAAACTATATGGCAATAATGGTCAATTAAATACCTTTGTTTCCTTGAGAAGTGATTTCTGGATTAAATATGATTTGATAGAATTTCTTGGTATTCTAGGGCCTGAGTTTTCTTACTTTTACCAATTGTTCTTTTAGTCCTTTAAAGAAAACTAATCTTGTACCTAGCTCCTATTTCTTTCTTTTAATTCTGAAACTGAATGCTGAAAGCTGAATACAAGTGTCTGGTGAACCGTTCCGATATATCCGCAAACACGCATCCTACCTGAATGGGGCTTCCGACTTATCCATCTGCATGCAGACTAAGAACGGGTATTGAGAAAACTGCACTGTGGAGATGAACTCCAGGCCTGCCTCTGATTCTGCCCTGGTTTCAAAGCCGGCTTTGACAAAAGAGGAGTCCACTGTGAGGTCACCAGTTATTACTATAGCCACCCTAAAAATTGAGAAAAATGTACATGTTCACATCACATGTAACTGAGTTGGACTAACAAAATTCCATAGAATCTGAACTCACGACATTGAAAACTGGAAGAAAACACCTAGAAATTGAGTAGTGACCTAAATATACTTAGAGTACTGTTAGAATTAGGGCCTGTTTGGTGTCAGAGATTACCATGGGAAGTTTGCTCTTCCCCTAGGCCTCCACTCTCTCCAGTTTTAGAGACTTAATGTCCATCAAATGTGACATTGTTTGGTATGAGTACACTGAGGACCAAGATTGAAATGTGCCTGGAAACTGGCCCCTCAGGAGATCAGAAATAACTGATTTCTCTCAAAAAGGAAATATAAACTCACCAAGAAGACAACTGGTATATATAATAATTTTCTTGTTAACCATCTCTGTTGGGTTAGAGGTAGCTATTTCAATGCCATCTAACCACTTTCTCCAAAGGGTCTCTCGGGGCAATGTCTATGGTTGCCAAATATTTGAAAGAACACTGTGTTACAAAGAATCATTTCCGGAATGAGGCATGTATAGTGGATGCCCCATGAGGGACAGATAGGGTGGGTTCAGAAATGATCGTTTAGAAAATTAGATACAGAGATTGGACTGGCAGGAGGTATGCATTATATGACAATGAAGAGGATAAGAAATTTCAGGAGGAGGGACCTTCAGGATTATTCTAAGTAATTGTGTACTTTAAACCAAACTGCAGGATATTACTCCCATAATTAAATCACTGTCAAACAGTCACACTTTTTTCTTTGAGGTACTGTTTTTTGCTGTTTGATTTAAAATCCCTGCACCTCTGCTTCTGTTGTCGTCAATGTAAAAGTAGGTCAGAGTTTGTTTTAATTTTTGACTCCCTTACAGGACCTTCTACTGTCTTAAACTCAGCAAAGGCATATGAGGTTTTTTTTCTTTTCTAAATGGACGAAGGAATCAGCAGATGAAAGATGTAAGATAGGTTAGTTATAATATGATGCTGGTATATTCTTAGGGATATTGTGTCCTTTTTGGTGCTGGTGTTGTTCATTTCTCTTTGCAAAGAATTCAATGCAGTTTAATTTGAAGAAATTTCTATCTAAAAAACTTACTTTGAAGAGAGAAGAAAAATGACTGACTCAGTGGAAAGCCTCAGATTATACTGATGGACTCTCTGATGACCAATTCTATTTTTCATTCTTTGGTTTCTTTTAGTAATACTATGTGTCACCCTTCATATTAAATGTGCCACCTTTTGGGTTTTCTCAGTTGCCTTATCCATAGATGAAAATGAACAAAAATTTTAACTTTATCGCTTTTATCCCACTCTCACTCTGCCCTACCATATTTTTAAATATTCAAAAAAGGTAAAAGTAAATTACATTTCTACTTTATTTTCTTTGGTTTGATAGCAAACACAAGAATAATTATTTAGGTTATCACTGGTTCAGAGACATTGTTGATGTTCAAAGTAAAACATTTTCATTGGATCTTACAGATTGGTTAGAAAAAACAAGGAAACTGAGAGAAAGGGATGTTGGTGGAAAACTTGATTGCTAATATCAAAATTCTGAATAAATTGGGCAGGGTGACTCATGCCTATAATCTCAGCACTTGGGAGGCTGAGACAGGAAGATGGAGAGTTTCAGGCCAGCCAGGACTACATGGTGAGACCCTGTCTCAAACATCCTGCCTCCCAAATAGATTCTGTATAGAAGGGATTGTCTTTTTATTATAATCCACTGAAGACAGCAAACAAGGAGAGGTTTTAAATCCCAAGAGGGCTAAGCTCTTGCTTAGAGTAAAACTTCCTGAGAGCATTGTCAATATTAAAGAGAAATAGCAAGAGAAGATGAGCCCCTTATCTATGGTGGACCTTGTCTGTGAAGATTTTCAGTGGAATTGTGTTGTGCACTGACCTGCTTCTTTGAAGAAGCTATGGACAAGGACTTCCCAGGATCAGTTCCAACACTATGATTGAACAATTATAAATCGGAAGAATAGATTCTGACAAATTTGAAGGTTAAGCAATTCACAAAAATATCCCTGACATTCTTTCCAAAGAGTATTAAATACATGCTTACAAATACACGCTTACCTATTTTTCACTCGAGTTTTAGACTCACGATACCACAAACTAAACTCCATTGCACCTGAAATATCAATAGCTAAACCACCTTGGACCTCCATGTTGGCCTTCAGTCCAGATTGTAATTGAAACTCCTAGAACCAAAAACAAACAAACAAACAAACATAGAAATAAGTCAAAGTTAGTTCACCCGCTTTGCGGACGCATATTTGACTTCCTGTTGCAGACAATGATATTTGACTTGTGTTTATGGAGGAATTGTTCTCGGAAATGTTTTCTGTTTATTTATTTTGGCACTGGGGTCAAACCTAGGCCCCATGCATGCTAGGCAAGTGCTCAGCAACTGAGTTACACCCCAAGCGTAGGAGTCTTTTTGTAGGCCTGGAAACATGTTGTCCTAATCTTGATCACCAAAAGCATATTCTGCTGAGTTGCTAAATTAGTCAGTTAAACTACCAGGGCCAGGAAGTACCAATAAGGATGTTTTTCTTTAATCATTCTCAGTGCGAGGCCCTTAGGACCAGCATCAGCACCACCTCAGAATGTGTTCAACATGCAGATTCTCAGGTGGTCCACACCAACCGAGTTAGAAAGTCAAGTGATTCTGACACACCAAAATTTGGGAACCGCTGGGCTCAGGAAAATGGAGGCACTTCCATGAGAAATCCAGCTGTGATCCTTGGGGTCCTTTAGCCCTTCTCAAGTTATATGTTGTATCAAATGCAGGCAACTACATTCTTCTGGCAAATAAGAAGCAGGAAAAGAATTCCCAGCTCAGTATTCAAGTTCTATGAGCTGCCTACACCAACCTTAGGGAAGGAAGGCAATTCAGCTAAGCCTTCACTCCCTGCTGTTTAACATTTAAAACGACACTGAAAAAACAGTCAAGTCCAACATGAACCTAACAACACTTTTCAGAGACACAGTAATCACTTACAAGCATAGTCCATCCCAACTATGAACTCATTTTATGGTTGCCTGGAATCCATCGTTTTGTGTTGTTCACCTGCATTTGGACTTCAAGTCTTACTTTTTCATGTACGTTAGGTGGGGTAATGTTGGCTGAAAATTTTTTCACTAGATTAGAAACACTGCCTGAGGACAGTGTTGAAACTTATAATAATTCTGGGGGAAATGTTCAGAATCCTTAATTTTGATCTTCCTCCAAAGATCTTAAGTTCCCGGCAACCAGCAGTCTAACTAACTTCTTTATATAACTGCCCACTTAGTTCAAGCAAGTCACGCTTTTGCCAGCTAAAATGCCATTATTTCACTTTCTAGAAAGGAACATGTTGATCTTTCTCAATTCCAAAAAAAAAAAAAAAAATGGTAGCAGGAAATGTATGGTCACGACACAAAAATTGTTTCATTCTGAAGGACTCTCCTGGATGCAAGCATCCTGTGCTCACTGCCATGCTCAGGAAACATTGGGAGACATGCCTAAGGATAGATACTTAAGCTGTATCTAGTCTATAACAGAAAGTGTGGCAGCCATAGGACACAGGGGCTGTGTAATACATTGTAACTAGTGTGAAGGAACACAATTTATCCTGAGAAAGCCACAACACTTGTGCCCAAGTTTTGCCTGTGAATTACAGGACAAGATTTAGGATGTCTGCACATGCATTGTAATCATGACAGATGCCAAAAAAAAACCTATCGTGTGCCCTGTCTCAGAAGCAGTCCTTCCTTTACATTTCCTCCTCTCTTCCCAATTTGCCAATCATATTTTTGTTAATCCATCCAGCCCCATAGGGGCCTTTGATGTGGACCTTGACTTTCCCACTAGCCATACATTAGGTGGATGAAAAATATATCCAGGCTGTGAAAAGGAGCATTCAGTGAGAACAGACTGACTTTATTGCAATGTGGTTTTAAGGAGTGCCTTGGATCTCTAGGAAGATTCCTCTTTTTTTTATTTTCATGCAGAAGGACCAGGGGAAGAACTCTTATGTGCAATCACAAGGGAATATTATTGGATGTTCTTTATAAGGACAGACCACTGGCTGCCATAGAACAAACCACTTTTCTCTTTATGAAAGGAACTAAACCACAAATGCAGTGATTCTAATTTTTCAGGGGTAAAAAGTAAGTGGAACTAACAGTTTAGGGGCACTGATTTTGTGCCTGAAGTTCTATATTCGGTAACTCATTTAATACCCATACTAATCATCCATGGTTGGCATTATATTACTAAATTGAAAGGAAAAATCAGGCTCAGAGGCTACATATGGAGCCAGAATAAATATACAGACTGTCTCTAATATAAAGCTTTTCCTACCAATGTTTGTGGCTGTCACACACTCACAACTCTCCTTTGTCTCCTAGTGTGCAAAAGAATATTACAAAAAAGATAGAGGAAGATAGGATCATGTCCCGGAGTAGCCCTGAGTACACATTTATTTAAATTTTTGCCCATGAACTAGATAAACAAGATACTAGAACTTTGCATTTGAAGTTGATGTGATCCCTTTTTTCTTGTTTCTTAAAGATCACACACTGACATTTTTGACAACTCACCCCATTTTACTGGCTTAAGAGGATCCCTTCTGGATCTTACCAGATATCCTTCTCTGATGAGTAATCCAATTATTATTATTTTTTTTTTGGTTGTGGTGGTGTGTGTGGGTGTATGAGAGAGAGAGAGAGAAGAGAAAGAACACTGAGTAATTCCATCTGCCCCAGTGGCTGTGACAGGCCACCCACCGCCAACATTTCCTTCAATGTCAGCACTTGACCTAGAGTGGTATGTGCCTCTAAAGCTCGGATAGCATTATCGGAGAGCCCTGCAGAGCCAGGGGACCTCAGACAACTTATTTGTATAAAAACCTCGATCTGCCAAACACTCTAGCCTGACACACAGACACTGGTTATACTTAATAGCTAGGGAACAATCTTTTTCATAGACTATACCTTGCCTGGGGTACTATAGCTTAACGAATACAAGAAAATCTAAATCAGAGATTGGCAAATGATGGCCTGCAGGCAAGTCTGCCCCACTGGCTGTTCTTGTAAATAGAATTTTATTGGAACATGGCTCTACTCATTTGTTAATATATTGCCGATGGCTGTTTTCATATTAAAATGAAAGAGTTGGGTAGTTGCAATAGACTATTTGGCCGTCAAAGCCTAAGATGTTCACTTTCTACCCTTTACAAAACAAGTTTGCCAACCAGATATAAATTGCTACTTATGTTTGCATCAAGTTTTGAGCCCTGATCCAAACAATCGGGCATTACCAAGGGGTAACTGAACACATACATGTAAGTTGAATTGTTGTTCTGTGTCAAAATGTGTACCACTTCCTCCACATTCTTATGCTGCATTTAGAAGTTTCTTTCATTAAAAGTGTGGTAGATTAATATGTAAACTTCTGAAACAGGTTGAGAAGTGTTTTCCATGCATGACTTGAGGACTAAGGACATCGGAGGCACCGCTGCTGGTCCTCCTCTTCATTTAGAGGAATAGAAACACAATTGTGTTCAGAGCATGCCTACACCCACGGCAAAAACATATTCACCAGCTTCTTTTGTGGTTATCAACAACCATATGACAGGCTTTTGGTTAATATCATTCTAGACAGGGCTTCCCAAAAGAGTTGTTTTTGTGTTGTTTTATTTTGTTTTTGTTTTTTTTGGGGGGGATAGGATCTCATTGTGTAGCCCAGGCTGCCTCAGCCTCACTAGTGCTAGAATTGTAGAAGTGCACCACCACACCCTGCATCAAATGAGTTCTTGAAAATGAGCTGATCGTCTAACAATTGGAATGACCATCTGGTAATCATAAGATGACAGCATGAGGTTAAAAGCCACAAGGAAGGATGGCTGAACTGATGGAAAAGAGCATGAATCTTGATGATATCTTAGGGTTTCTATGTTAAGCCTGGACTATCTACTTCTAAGTATTTATAACATGATAAAAATCAAACTATTTGGTTAAGCTACTCTAAGTTGTTTTTTGTTTTGTTATATATGACTGTCCTGAATAGATATGGGGAATAACAAATATAGAGAAGTAAGAATATTTAGTTCCAGCTATTGATGCTGGAGCTAAATATCAGAAGAGTTGTAATAAATCTGATTACTAAGGGCTCTCCAGCTGTCCAAACTTATGACTTCATAACCAAAACCTCACAACTCAGAATCCTCATATTATCTGATAAAGAAAACAAAGCTATAAAATCTTTGGATCATCTGTTCCAATTGTTCCACTTTATCCGTAGGAAGCCATGGCTTAAAGTTAAGTGACTTTCCAAGAATGCACAGCAAGGAAGTAATAGAGGCAAAATCCAAACCTAGGCTATTACTTAGGAAATTACTACACCACAAAAATGAACTCCCCCATTAAGTTCTACAGTCTGCAAATTTTAAATTCATTCTCCTTATATATGTCCAATATAATAAGTATTAGAGTACATTATGATTCTCCATATGAACCTTATTTAGCAAATATTTCATTTTTAATATTATACTTCCTGAAACAGGAAATGATCAGGTCCTTAAGAAACTATTTTAAGCATCAAACATTCAAAACTCAAAGATTGTTCAGATTAACCCTCTTCAGTTTCTCAGAAAAATCCAATCAGGCAGAGCACCCCATTCCATAGTTTCTTGGTCACTTGAACCCTTTTCCATTGAAGATAGTATTGTCAGACTTTGGTATACTAGTTTCAGATTTAGGGTCAAGGAAAACTGAAAAACATTCTGAAGAAAAAGGTTCAAGTGGGTGAAAATACTACTATTCTCTAATAATAAACAAAGCTAAGATTTTACAAACATGAGAATTTGGGACAGAGTCTCCACTATATGGATCTTCATCACCACTGTCATTACAAGTGTCACCAGTAACTTATGATACCATATGGTTCAGCTCCTGCTTTCCAGGATCAGTATCAGCTAAGCCCAGGAAAATCAAGTAAGGAGGCAATGCCTTTTCTGCTCGGTGTGTTCTGGGCATGCTCCACAATTTCTTGTTTCTGCTAATTAGCATCTGTTTGCCTCATTTTCTATTTGCTTCAAAGTAGAAAGATCCCTTAAGCAGATAGTAAATGCAAAAGAAAGTGCTACTTACCCACAGCAAAGGAGAAAGGATGACAATATCACTGGGACCAAATTCTTAGAAGGTGGGCTCTAATATGGGAGAACATTATCACGTATACTCCAGGCACAGAGACCATTTAAACTATGCCTGGCAATTTTAGAGACTCAATTGATACTTGCAAACTGAGTAAATTACCTGAGAATGGTCTATTAGCAGAATAAGTCCTTTTACCACACTGACAGGGTCGCTAGATGCTGACAGCATTTTGGACATCAAATCACTATATCCGTTGAAAAAAGTGACAGGTCTGAGCTGAACATCAAAGAGGATGGGTGACATGCCAGCATAGGAGTCAAGGTTCTCCTCTCCCTCATCAGGAGTGGCTGCAATTAAGGCCTCCAGACCTTGGGCTTCCAGGACCACCTAGGGGAAATGAACACAGCCTTCATGACACAAGCTCCTAGTCTGTTCTGTAAGTGATGGTGTGGCTTCTGAGCTACAACTAGAACTATTCTAGGGTTTGAAATCTCAACTGGATCTGTCATCTAGGCAAAAATAAAATCAAAAGTAAAAAGAAAACAAAACCTCGATGCCTGACTATGAGGTGAATAGTGTCTTCCATGTAGTCTTCCCAACCGTCCTTTGAGATATGGATGATTTTACCCATTTTGTAGGTGAGGAGACAAAAGGTTCAAGTGCACTCAGCTAATCCATGGCAGGGGCAGGATGCAAACCCTGCTGTCTGACTACAAAGATCAGGAGCTTTTCATTTCATGATGTCATGCTAGAGACTCTTAGCTTCCCCAAGGCTGTCACAGGTAATGGATCAGTCATGTTGGAGAGTCTTTGAAAGGAGTTGGAGAGGTATAGACAGTTGTCCAAAGGTCACTGCTACAAGAGGGCATAGACTTCTCTGAGCCAGACTCACACCTTTCCATGTCAACCTTTCCTCCCCCTCCAGAAAGCAAACCAGACATGAGCACTGTGAGAAAGCTTATGCTGACTTCTACCACACATGGGAATTTTACATATTTGCTGTCCTGTGTTCCCAACCCCTTCACCACTAGGCATTTGGTATTCAGAGTGTGCAGCAGAAAACAGATGGTGATGCCTCCGCACAGGGCATGGTATTCTGACTATGCTACTATCAAAGGCTGTGGAAATTTCATATTGATGGGAGCTCATTTCTGTATAGTGGGTCATTTTTAAAACTTAAATGACTTTTATTAGAAGGTTATAATTTGATAGCTAAAAAATCTAAAATGAAGGTATATTTTATAAGAAAATTTGTATAGCTCATCATCTAATTTTAGATAAAACTAACAGAAATCATTGGTTTTCAAATACCCACACTTTATTCTTTCCTCTCCTGTAGTACTGGAGAAATATAGGTGAGTTCTTTAGACAACCATATTCAATTATGAAGTTACTTTAATGAGGAAAGAATCTCTTTGTAGAGAAACTTGAAAAGGCAAAGATAGTAAAGAATGAACTACTTAGGAAGAAGACATAAGGAAAATATCTGTGAATAAAAGTAAAATATTATTTTACTTTAATATTACTTTAAAATATTATTATTTAAGTGAGAAGTATTGGCAAAATTTCAATTTTGTGAATTCGTATACCTTTAAAAAAATACAGGAGGATGTTTGGCAAGTTAAGCAAATCAAATTCTTCAGGCTTCAATCCCTTATTTGAAACTTTCTCTTAGACTATAAGCCATGCAGCCTCTTGCAGATGAATGCAATGTATGACAGAAGCCACCATGGATGTACATATTCTATAATGCTACTATCAGTAATTTTTACTTTACCTTAGACCAATTTCTTACACACTGTGCTAAGCAAAATCCATGGAAAATGAGTTACCTGGCTACCATGAAGACTAGCCTTCCCAATGTACTGAAAGATGTTCAGGTTACTTCTCCTGAGGATGCCAGAGCCAGAGTAAAGAATATCAAGACTGTACGTGGATGATGAATGGGGGCTACCTAATGACAAAACAAGCACATGACTTAATGACAATTCTAACAATGCCAAGTTGGGAGGAGCAGGGAGGGAGAACCCCGTTTTGGGTTACATACGTTCTATGTAGCCAGTATAGGCAGAAGAGGATCCACTCTTGGAGAAACGGTCATAATTGTGAGTGACCATTTCCTTGAGAACTCGACGGACCATTTTGCTGCAACATATAAAAAGAAAAGGCTGCATGTGCATTGTAATGGCTGTTTCCCAAATCAAATTAGGAAAGAAACCAAATCCTCAGTGGAAAAATGAGGAGCTATATTTTCCTCCTGCCACGCTAAGACTGAAGGAGGTGCCAGCTGAATGCCAGTGTCAAGATTGGGGCTTTCCCCTTCATTCCTCAGTTATTTGAAATTTAGTTTGGTATCTAAATGATAGCAAGGCAAGGATGCCCAGGTATGAGATGGCTTCAGCTGACTGGTGGACATACCTCAGGAGCAGAAAACACATGTTTCTTGAACCATCTAAATTCTACTATTAAATGCTATTATGTGCTTAAGGAAAGCATACTCAATTGAGGAGGTGGCATGATTTTTATTTTATTTTATTTTATTATTCATATGTGCATACAAGGCTTGGGTCATTTCTCCCCTCTGCCCCCACCCCCTCCCTTACTACCAACTCTGGTGGCATGATTTTTTTAAACATTTTTTCTAAACCCTCTGATATTATCATTAGCTAATGATACATAACAATAAATTTCCAGATTTTCTTCTACATCCATGTAGTTTCAATTACAGAAACAGCTCTATAAAATTCATAAAGAAGCAATTGTCTCCTCTAAAGTAAGTTTCAATCCTTACTCCATGTCTCTGTTTTGTCTATGTAGTGTTGAGATCTTTCCATTTCTCATCATGTAATACTAATCATAGCAGTAAGAACAAAATTTCAAAAATATAGCAAACAATCAAAATAAGTAAACTATACCTAGGTCTGAGGTAGACAATTTTTGAGAGGAGGAAATGGCAACTTTATACTTCCCATCCTTCAAAACCTCTAGGTTGTAAGATTTTAGCCTAGAGAAGAAAAGGTTTTAGCCTAAAGGTGGATCAGGACAGATGTCCTCAAATATTTAGAGAACATTCATGTATATGAATGACTTGACATGTTTTTCTTTGCTCCAGAGATCAAGCAAAGTCCAATGACAGGATTTCGGATTACATGAAGAAATAGCAGCAAGGTCTCTGAACAATGGCACAGGTTTCCTCAGAGGCAGTGAACTACCTAACCATCAGAAAGGGGCAAGTGAAGTTTGGAGACCACCTGTGAGGAGTCAAGACACCTACACTGAAAAGAGATACTGAGCAAAGTGGCCTTTGATGTCCCTTCCAACCGTAGAGTGTTCGTTCTGACAATCTGACCTGTAATGTTGGTGATGGCTTCCTTTCATTTCCTAGGCAGCCTTCTGCCTATTGCCTCCTCTTTACTGTCCCCAAATCCCTAGCCTCCAAGCCAAAGACAGAAAATACATCTGGGGCCTCCAAGGAGTCTCACATAAGCAACAAAGAAATAGAAGAATCCAATTCCTACATCTAGAAATTCATGGCTGCGGCTTGACCTGGCTTCCTTCCTGTCTCTCTCCCCCTCTCACCTGCTCTCTTCCCCTCTTCTCTGTCCTGTTCTCTTTGTTCTAATCACTCCTTCTGTTTCTTGTTCCTAGGGTTTTTTTAGTTCTTTTTTTTTCCTGTTTTTTCATTTTCTTTCTTTCTTTTTCAACCTCCCCATATCTGTTTTCCTTTTCTGTGGGAAATCCTCACATCTGATCTTTCCTGTGGGCAGCATTCTGCATGTACCTCAGGAAAAAGGGAAATTCTTTCTTTGGCCCTCTGAGTCCAGTGAGGAGGAACTTTGGAAGAGCCACCCTGAAGACTTGATTTCAGTGGAAAGAGATTTGGGAACTGAAAAGAAGTGAGTTCAGAAAGAGTAACTGAGAACAAAGTCTGTTGACACACCCTTCAGAGGTTGAATTGTCTTAAAATGTGGGCCGTCCCTAAAGTTTTAAACTTAAATGGCACACTCATTGGAGCTGTGATAAATGAGCCTTCAAAGATTCCTAACATTTGGAAAGTTAAGATGAAAAGACCACTTGGTGAGAATTTGCATCATTTTGTTGAGCTACTTATAAAAATAGTTCTGTTGAAAATGCAATTAGATTTTAAAACGTTACTAACATTTGACAATATATATTTACCAGACTAAACGGGATACCCAGCATAATAGTCATACCCAGAGCTCCTAATCATAGACAGACAAAATGAAGCTGTTATATTTGCTGCCTCACTCAGCATCCCTCTTCAGGGAAATCTGGCTCTTTGGCTTTGTATCATAACCCAGCATAGTAACCATACCACAACAATTAGCCAAATGTGTACCACATCCATATACAAATAAGCCTGAATAAATAGAGATGTGCAATGTATCATATACCTTGCAGGCATTTCAAAACGTAGAATGTCTTGAATGGTGGAGAGCATGTATTTATTCATTTCCTTGGGAAGCTCCCCAATCGAGAGCAGAATGTTTTTGACCTCCATGTAGGATGGATTGTTCTTTAAAATGACAGCAGCTGCAGTGGTGCGCACTGTCTTCTCATGAATTTTACGATTCTGGTGGTAGATCCTGTTCAAGGTCTTCTTCACCTGTTCATGAGATGTTCAAACTTAGTGCATGCCTAGATCTTTAGAATTGATATTATAGCAGAAATAGGGTTTATAAAGACAAGCCTGTGTTACTACACTTCCATGGTTCCTTTGCAGTTAAGTTGGAACTACTTGACTAGTTTCAGCTAATGGACCATGAGCAGAATCAAATGTGGATCACTTTAGGCTGAGGTGAAGAGCTGCCTCCCTGACTGTGATGAACTTATGGCCATGTATTTCCTCACCCATATTCAACAGAGCATGAAAAATAAACTTTTGATAAATACAGATATTTGGGGGTCACTTTTTTTTTTGGCGGTACTGAGGCTTGAACTCAGGGCCTCATGCTTGCCATACTTGCTAGGTGATAGTAGCTCTATCACCTGAGCTACTCCACCAGCCCTAAATACAGATATTTGAAGTTCATTTATTTTTGCAACATAGCTTGCTATTACCTAATAGAGAATTTTAAAAGCACTGCTGTGGTAATAGGGACTTGGGGAGAGGTGGCTATATAAACTGATATTTCCTTATAATGAAGTATCTCAGAATATTTTCTTCTCCTTTTAAAAAATTAATATACCTTAGTTTTTAGAGCAGTTTTTGGTTCATAGCAAAATTGAGTAAAAAGTAGAGTTTAATATACCCTTTAACCCCTGCACACACACACACACACACACACCCCTCCTCCTGTCGACATTCTGCAGCACAGTTGCTGTAGACTGCAGAAAGTTGGAGTGTGTCCCTCAAAGGTCTGTGTGTTGGAAGCTTGCTCCCTAGTGTGGTGGTGTTGACGTGGGTCCTAGTGGAAGATAACTAGGTTATGGAAGCCTCACCCTCAGGAAAGAAGAAATTCCTAGGACTGGAATAGTTTCTTCAAGGATGAAAGGCTGCCAGATAGCATGCAACCTTCCCTGAATCTTTATTCCACATACATCACTAACAATTCTTGAACACACTCCTGCTTTTGTGATGCTGTGTGCCTTAAGGCTCTCACCAGAACTAAGAAGATATTGGTGTCATGTTCTTGGACCTCCAGAACTGTGAGTTAAGAACTTCTTTTCTTTATAAAGTACCCAGGCTCAGGTATTTTGCTATAGTAACAGAAAACAGACTAAGACAAAAACAGCACATCTTTTATATTCAACAAATCTATTTGACACATCATTATTAACTACAAGATATATTGTGATCTTTTTTTCTAAAGAAAATACTAGAATCAGAGAAAATCTGCCATAATAATTGCTTTCTGTGTCAACAAATAATTTTATTGGTAACTAGCACTGCCTAAGAAGATGTAAAGTGTGGGTTTCTATAGTAGGCATTTATATATTTTTTTCAATTCTACCTTTTCCTACCTCCCCCAAATCTTGGCCTTGCTCTCAGGTATGCAGATATTAAATAACTCACCCCAAACCAAACAACTATAAAAGAATAAACCCAGAATTTGTGACTACATCTCTCTTTCTGAAATGCCTATGCCCTTAACCAGCATGCTTTGCAGCCAGCCACCTGGATAAAAAATTGGCAGGAGGGTGCCTACCTGCAAACCAGAAATACCATTTTCAGTGTTGAACACCTGCAGGTTAGAAATATCATTCATTTCTGAATGAATGTGAGGAGGTTTGTGAATGTTCTCTGCCCTAACAAAATCCTAATTTAGATGACTTCCTGAAAATGTAGTTATGAGAGCATGCTTTCCAGGATACTTCAGTGTTGAAAAATTTAACAGCACTTTAAAACTCATAAGAGTAAATGTATTTTTGAAAAGGTTGTTTCTTAAAAATAAAAGAATGTGTTTCAATATTTATGCTTCAAGATATAGGTCATTATAGATTCAAAATGTGAGGCTGCTTTAGAATAGCTTTAAGTACAATTTAAGAGTCATTTCTAAGCAGAAGAGAGTGAACATTTGGAAAACATAAGTAAACAAGACTTTAGAGAAGTTCGCATTTGACTCATGTTCAGATGTGGTTCATCCCTTCTATTAATAATTGCAAATATTCTTGATTTTTACCTCATTGGTTATGAAAGAGACATCATATCTCTGGAGGGTGGTGGTAGCAAGGTGGCTAATGGGCCCCTCTCCTGCCTCTGCATACTTCAGAAGGAGTGGGATGCCTTCTGGAAGCAGGGCGTTCTTCAGAGCCAGCAGGTACATCACAGTGTCTTCTTTTTTCCCTGGTTTCTCAAGTCCTCCCAGGATTAACTTCTTGGCTTCTACTACAGCCTAAGGGGGAAAAAAAAAGAATCACACAACTCAGACATTTGCATGGCTGAACATAAAACAAACTTGGACAAGAAAACCACCTAAACTTTTAGAAAAGTTTACATTGATTGCCTGCCTGAGACACACAATGAAAGCAAACAGGTGAAGCTTGATAGAGGCATATCTTTTGAGAAATACATATGTTAACACATGCTTAAGAAGCAATAAGTGTAATTAATAATAGGCAAATTTAGTTTTGAACATTCTGGACGTACAAAGTCATTTTAATTCCCTTGTGATTATTTCAAAAACTCTCCATTTATTGAATTTCTAAAACAGCAATTATGTGAAGCCTAAGTATCACCATACACGTTTTCTGAGTTAACAACTTGAGTGAAGGTGCTTAGAGCTTGACATACAAAGTCTGGTTGTAAATGTTTTTAAAGTGCTTTGCTTCACTTGGCTCCAAATTTAATTAATGCTGCCATACAGTTAAAAAACATTTCTTAAATGCCTTATATGTGGCAAGGACAAGACCTAGGCAAAAAAAATACTAAAAAAACAAAAAACATTGAGGACAAGTTAATAGTTTAATAGAAAGGCAAGTTAGAAATGGGTCATCTGAGTTCTGATTTTGTCTTTGTCACTGTGTATGTTTTACAGATTTGTGTTTCATCTTTAAAATAAAGATTCCTAAGCTCTAATTCAACTACAGGATTTGTGAATTCTGAAATTAAGCTACAGGTACATGCATACACACACACACAGAGGAAGGGGAACAAAGGGGCAGGTTAGGAGTGGGGAAGAAAATACAAAACATACAAATTGAAAGAAAGATGACAAACTTTACATACAGAGAAGTGACATTTGTCAATCTTTATATTTGTAAAAATAATTCAAGCTTGATAACATTTTGTTGATGAAGCAATGGAGAAAAGGCATTCTCAAATTTTGATGGCAGGAGTATAAAATGGTACAATTCATATGGAAGATAATTTGACCAAAGCTAACAAAACTCCATTTTGATCCAGAAGCCCTAGTCCTAGCCCTGAAGTTACATTTCTAACAATAAGAAAAACTGTGCCTAAGATTATTCAGTTCAGCATTATTTGTAATAACAAAATAGTGGACATCATTGACATGACCCTATATAGGAGACATTGAATAAACTGTAAGCCATTAAACAGGGAGTATTAGGTCGTTGGAAAACGGGATGAGGAAGATCTCTGTTTACCAATATGGAGTGATTTCCATGGCATAGTGAGCAAAAAAAAGTAAGCTATAAAAGAATATCTATAGGATGTTATATTCTGCACAACAAAGAAGAGAGAGAGAGAGAGAGAGAAAACATCTGTTTACTGTTGCCAAAAGAAATACAGGAAGAAGCAAACAGAAGTTAATGATTCTGTTTACCTACAGGATGTAGATAAGAATAGGTGGAAGGGCCAGGCACCGGTGGCTCATACCTGTAATCCTAGCTACTCGGGAGCCAGAGATAAGGAGGATCACAGTTTGAAGACAGCCCAGGCAAATAGTTCATGAGACCCTATCTCGAAAAAACCCTTCACGGAAAAGGGCTGGAAGAGTGGCTCAAGGTGTAGGCCCTGAGTTCAAGCCCCAGTACTGCCAGAAAAAAAAAAAAAAAGAAAAAGAAAAAAGAATACATGGAAGGGATAAATAAGAGAATGAGGCCGCTTTGAGGATATTTTTGAAATATAGCTTTGGATTTTGGACCATATTAATATTTTAAATACTCAAGAGATAAAATTAAATCAACAAAGATGGAAAATTACTAAAACTTAATTGAAACATAAACAAATGAACTTAACGTATTAAATTGATAATATAGCTAAACAGAAGAGGATGAAAAGGAATTTATCCAAACAACTTATGTGCATGGAAATCAAATTGCACAACTTCAATGGGATATAGTCTAAGGACAAAAGGAACTGTAATGAAGTCTTGAACTGAATTTAGTTTATTTTTGCAAAGATGTTGGTATATTCAAGTCTATTCCAATACTATTGTGTCTATGCTTTAGGACTAAGGAAGTGAATCAATATATTGATGCTCTTGAAAATTACTGTGGGAGAAGAAAGATACAGAGTGGAAGAAGGAAAGAAAGAACCTGTAGTGCTGTATACAAATCAGAGATAACAGTATGAGTTAATACTTTCATAAATACATATGTTTTGGCATTGTAAGAACCCGGATGCAATGGCACTCTAGCAATAAGAAGTAAACGTGTTCATGGTTAAACTATCAGATGTCTGCAACTCACCAATGGCTCCACTAAAAGGAAACACTGAGGAATGAAAAAATGTCAATATGTTAAGAATTGGTGAATATAGTGTAGGGTATAAAAATATTTGTGGAATTGTACTATTCTTATAACTTTTGTAGGTTTGTATTTTTTTTTCAAATACAAATTTGAATGCAGGTAGGTCAAAATGTAAACCAAAAAAAATAGGAAGGAAAAAAAAGAGGAACATGAGGCTTAGTCCTGGCTGTGGACTTGTTGGGCTGCCATTTAGACTGTCACAGGGCTTGGGGTTTTATATTAATTGATGCTAAAGAGCTTTAGCACTGGCTGGAATGGCAGGTACCTTTGGGGCATGTAATTATTGTGTGCCCAATAAATACTTTAAATTTGTTCTTAGAATACCTTACTTGTTTTCTTTCATATATTTTTGCTTTGATCAAAACATAGATGAGTGTTTCATGGCAAGAAACTAAAAAGAAAATTTGAACATTTACTGTAGTTCAAATCTCATTACCCAAAAAGATGCCTTAAAAAAAGTTGTTCAAAGACATTAACAGGATTAAATGACAGTGATAGTTGGATACTTTGGAGCTACTTGCAGGGCAAATTTAAAGACCCAATAAGAACTAAGCTGCCCCTAAACAGAAGAACTTTAAGTCTGATTTTTTACTTAGTTTCCTTTTCATGGTACATATCTTGGTAATTTTACTCTCTCCCAAGATGTCTACTCCTGGATCTAACTTCTCTGAACTGCAGATGGTTATTACCATCTGCCTGTTGGACAGCTCAACCTGGTGGCCCAAAGGATCTCAAACTTCAAATGGCCAAACAAATTAATAATTCTACCCTTCTCTCATCCTTAAACCAAATTCTAGAAACCTTGGTAAGGTGGTTTGGCATCACCATACACCTACTTTTCCAACCTGGAAGCTTTAGAATTACCTGTATTCTAAACATCTTTCTCATTCCCCACATCTCATTGATCACTAAATGCTGTTAAATCTACCTCCAAATGGCTCTTGAATCTGTCTTATCCCCTCATTACCTTGCCCAGAATTTTACTGATTCTTACAAAATTACCTCAAAATATTTCCGATTAGATTTCACTTATTACTCTAGCCATTACTAGATTTATACACCATCTTTGCTTTTTCCTAAAAGAAAAACTCTGAGAATATCATTTACCTGCCTTATTAAACTCACCAGTCCCCTTTCCTCCTGTAGAACAAAGGCCATACTTCTTAGCTTGATATTAATAAATATTGTTTCTCCCTCTCCTCTCTTCCCCTCTTTCAAGTATTTCCACCCCCACCTGTCCGCTTCCACAAAGGTACATATTTTGTGTTATAGACCCACAGAACCTCTCACTCTTTCCAGGAATATCAGAGCAACTTTGGGTCTTTTCATACAATATTATACTTCTCCTATAGTGTCCTTATATGCTCTCTTCACCAAAAAGCTCTTGCAAACCAAGTTCAAATATTACTATGCTGTTGAAACCTCCAGTACCCTCAAACAGCAAAGGCTTCTGTGTTCCTGTCTTCTTAGATCTCTTTATGTTTCAATAATACAGAATCCATGGAAGATTGATTCCAGGACTTCTGCGGAGACCAAAATTCATAAATGTTCCAGTCCCTTACGTAAAATGAGAGGGTATTCACATATAAACTATGTAATCCTCCTATATATTTTGAATCATCTCCAGGTCACTTGTAATACCTAATACAATGCAAATGCTAAGTAAATATTTGTCCTACTTTATTACTTAGGGAATAATGATAAAAAGAAAAGTCCAAATGCATTCATTACAGATGTAATTTTTCTCCGTGTTTTCAAACCATGGTTGGTTGAATCTTGAATGGGGAACACACAGACACAGATGACCAACTATATCTATCTGTGTTTGATAAGAAGACAAGGAATTCTTTGAGTAAGGTATAATATTTTGTGCAAAGAGTAAATGCTGAATAAATTCTGTTGAATGGATGTTTTTTATATGTGACGGCCTTCTTTAGCCAAGATATTTAATACACAAATTGCTACAGTAAATCAACTACTCAAATAATCATGGAAGTTAAAAATGTAAGAATTCATAGTCCTTTAATGCCATAAAAATAATACTAAATTTGATTTTAACCAGAATTGATATTTATTTTCAATGCCCCTGTTGTTGATAACCTTTTTTTAATGATTAATGTACATTCTATCTGTGGGTTGCCTCATGGACTCATTTGGTTTCAAGAATGTTGTCCATATTATTTTTAATAGCAAGCACTTTAGTGAAATAATATAGTGAAGTCTTTTGTGATAGAAAAAAAATATGAACTGGATGCTGGTTATATAATTAGGACAGAAAAAAAGTATTTTCATATATTCAGCATTTTAATCTATCTGCATTATAGACAAATGGGCTGTGTTTGATTTTAACCTATTTAGATTTTCCACATTTATTTATGCTTACAAAGTGAGTGTTTTTTAAGCAAAAAGATTTGAAGATTGATAGCCTACTCAGGAAAGTAGAGAAACTTTGAGCAAATGTAATTTAAAATACAAAGTTCTAGGTGATTAGAAGTCACTAAATTTCTATCACCAAAACTCAAAACTGCAAACTACATTTACTATAAACAAAGGTCTGGTCTAGGAGGAAGCCTTTGAGTCTAATATTTTCCTAAGGACAAGCACTATACTATCCACACTATTCAGAGCTAAGTTAGAAGGACAAAGAAGGTAATTATATTGTGATAAACATGTCAATTCCTCAAAAGGATATAACAATTATAAATACACATGTGCTCAATGTCAGAGTGCATTAATATTAAAGCAAACATGAAGATCTGAAGGAAGGCAGACTGCAACACAATCAAAGCAGAGGACTTTAATGCCCCATTTTTAACAACATGCAGATCATCCAGACAGAAAATCAGTAAGAAAATACTGCACTTGCTATACAGTAAGACCAAATGAACCTAAGACTTATGTACTGAATTCCATCCAATATCTGCAGAATAGATATTTTTCTCAAGTACACACAGAAAAATTTCCAAGCTGTATGTATATTATATCACAAAACAAGTTTTAACAAATTGAGGGAGAATGAAATCATATCAAACATCTTTTCTAGCCACAATAGTATGATACTAGAAATCAATAATAAGAGGAAATCATGGAAATTTAACAAATATGTTGAAATTAAACAATATGTTCTTGAACAACTATTGTGACAAAGAGGAAATTAAAAGGGAAATTTAAAAAATTCCTTGAGATAAATAAAAATGGGAATACAATGTACCTAAACTGATGGGCTGTAAAGGGAGCTTGTAACACTAACTGCCTACATCAAGAAGGAAGAAAGACCTCAAGTAAACAACACAACATAAGTATGTTATGAACTAGTAAAATTAGAAAAACTAAATGCAAAATTAGCAGAAGGAAGGAAATAACAAAGATTAGAGAATGAAATAGAAAAAAAATGCAAGGGATCAATGAAACTAAGATTTGTTTTTTGAAAACATAAGCAAAATTAACAAGCCCTTTGCTAGGCTTTAAAAAAAAAGATAAGATTCAAATATACAAAATGAAAGAGGAGGCATTACAACTCATAACACAAATACAAAAAATCATTAGAGACTACAATGAGTAATTGCTATATGCACAAACAAATTAGACAACCCATGATAAATGGATAAATTCCTTAAAATGTTTAGCCTACCAAGACTGAACTATGAAGAAATCAGAAATCTGAACAGGTCAAATAATCTGCTTAGACTGAATCAGTAATTAAGTCTCCCATCAAAGGAAAGCCTAGAACCAGATGATTTCACAGCTGAATTCTTCCAACCATTTAAAGAAGAATTAATACCAATCCCTCTCAAACTCTTCCAAAGAACTGAAGATGAAGGAAGACTACTAAATTCTTTTACAAGGCCAGGATTAGCTGATACCACAGCCAAAGACACTACCAGAAAAGAAAACTAGAGGCCAATATCACTGCTGAACATACATTAAAAACTCCTCAACAAAATACTAGCAATAATGTATTGAAAAACTTATTCACCATGATCAAATGGTATTTATAGCTGCAATGCACCAGTGGTTCAACATATGCAAATCAATAAATGTGATTGACAATGTTGACAGAATGAAGACTTCAAACAATATGATCATCTCTATAGAAGACATTTGATAGAATTTAACACTCTTTCATGATAAAAACTCCAAATGAATTAAATATAGAAGGAATGTTGCTTCACACAGTAAACCATATACAATCAATCTGTAGCTAACAATGCTCAATAGTGAAAAAGTTGAAGGCTTATCCTCTATGATCAGGAGCAAGGCAAGCGTGCTCACTAGCACCATTTCTGTTCAACATCATACTGGAAGTCCTGACCAAGGCAATTAGACAATATAAAGAAATGAAAGGCATCTAAGCAGTAAAAGAAGGAACTGAAAGCATCTCTGTTTGCTGCCCATGTGATTTTATATATAGGAAACCATAAAGATTCCATCAAATCACTGATAGCATTGATACATGAATTCAGTAAAGTTGCAGGCTACAAAAAATCAGTAACATTTCTATTCACTAACAGCATACAATCTGAAAAAGAACTTAAGAAAACAACCCCATTTATAGTAGCATCAAAAATTACTTAGGAGTAATTTAACCAAGGAAATGAAATATCTAAATACTGAAAACTAGAAAATACTGAAGAAACTGAAGATGACACAAATAAATGAAAAGACATTCCATGTTCATGGATTGGTAGACTTAATATTGTTACAAAAGCAATCTGCAGATTCAATGCAAATCCCTATCAACATATCAAGGGCATTTTTCACAGAATTAGAAGAAACAATTCTAAAACTTGTATGGCAACACTGATCAGTGGAATAGTATAGAGAGCCCATAATAAACCCACATAACTGATTTTCTGCAAAAGTGCTAAGAACACATAATGAAGAATGAAAGGGTTTCTTCAATAATGGTATTGGGAAAACTACATCCACATGTGGAAGGATGAAAATGGGCCCTTATCTCACCCCATACCCAAGAATTAACTCAAAATGGATTAAGGACTTAAATATAAGGCCTGAAATTGAAAAACTACTAGAAAAAAACATAGCAGGAAAACTCCTTGGTGTTGATATAGTCAGAGATTTCCTTAACTATGACCCTAAAAGTATAGGCAATAAATATAAAAATGGACAAATGGGAATGTATTGAATTAAAAAACTTCTGCATAGCAAAGGAAACAAGGTGAGGAAACAATCAGGAGACTGGGAGGAATTATTTGCAAGCCATACATCAGATAAAGTACTAAAATCTAGAATATAAAAGGAACTCCAATTACTCAATAATAAGAAAAATTAACCTTATTAAAAACTGGTAAATGACCTGAACAGATATTTCTCCAAAGAATACATAGAAATAAATGATCAACAGATACATGAAAAGTGCTCAACATTTCCTATCATCAGAGAAATAAAATTAAAACCACAATGAGATATTGCTTCACAACCACTAGATCAAAAAGTATCGGCTAGTATCAAAAAGTTGCAAGATAAAGTGTTGACATAGATGTGGAAAAAATGTAACCCTTGTACACTGTTAGTAGTATTATAAATTAGTGCGGTCATTTTGGTAAAGAGTGGAGGTTCCTCAAAAAACTAACAATAGAATTACCACATAATCCAGCAATCAAACTCTGGATACTTACCTGAAAGAATGAAAACAGTATGTTCCTGAAAGTATTACTCATGATAGCCAAGAATGACTGGATTTTTTAAAAAATGTGATATATATATATATGTATAAATATATGGAATGCTCAGCCATTAAAAAGCAAGAAATTCTGTCATTTGAAAAAAACATGTATGACCTGGAGGACATGATGCTAAATGAAATAAGCCAGGCACAGAAAGCTAAATACCACATGCTCTCACTTATATGTGAAAATTTAACAAGTCAAACCCATAGTAGTGTATGCAGAGTAGAATGATGGTTGCCAGCTGTTGGTGGGTGGGGGTAGGAGGTAGGGAAGAATGAGCCAGGAAAGGGGAAATGTTGGTCAAAGAGTGCAAAGCTTCTGTTAGACAGGAGGAATAGGTTCTGGTGGTAATACAACATGGTGACTAGTTAGTAATAGTGTATTGTATATTTCAAAATACATAAAAGAAGGGATTTTAAATGTTCTCATCACAAAGAAACAAGTATCTGAGATCATGGATATGTGAATTTGTACAATTTGATCATTCCATAAAGTCTAAATCAAAACATCACATTGTATATCATAAATATGATTATCCACCTTTCAGATGATAATAAAATGACAAAAGATCTGAGTACATATGTAGTAGGCATCAGAACATATATTTTGATAGAAAGATTCACTTTCTAGCAAGTATTCATTGAGCATTATCTGTGCACCACTCATCATTTTAAGCAACTGGTGTTGAAAAAAACCAAAGCTCAATTTCTGTGTGGTGCTTACATTTTACTGGGAGACAGAAATAAACAATACTTATAATAAACAACTGACTTGGAAAAATATTAGGTGGCAATAATGGCTATGCAGAAAGGAAGAGTAGAGTAGGGTAGGGGATGAGGATGGCAGTGTAGAGAGTATGAACATTGTGGTCTGCAGCAGTAGCATTGGGTTTGCACTTACTTTGAGTTTGCAGCCTTCATTCTCACACAACTTCCTGACAAGGGCTCCAATGATGATCATAACAGTCTCTCTGATGTCATTACTCCCAAAGGAACCTTTGAACTTACTCTATTAGCCAAACAGGAATAAAACAGATTACCAAGGGCTGGAAGTGTAGCTCAAATGGAACAGTACCTGCCTAGCAAGTGTGAGGCCCTGAGTTCAAACCCCAGTTCCGACAGAAAAAAAAAAAAAAGGTTAACAAGACATTTAAATATTTCCAAGGGACATACGTGGTTAAGAAAAAAATAACCAATACTTGAGAACAATGTTTTTATCTTCTCAGATAGCAAGCTCAGAATTTTGCTTTTGACACACTCAGAAATTCTCTATCTAGTTTTGAAGGAAGTGTTAATAGAATACTTTCTTTCCAGGTATTCTTACCCATGACCTATAAACTCTTTCAGGGTTTATGGATTGGATTCTTTGGGTTAGTCAGTGAACCAAAAAATGTTTATAAATTTTCATATGTGAATACTTTTATTGGATTTTCAAGTTGGCTTATTTTCTTAAAAGCTTATGAATTCTTCCACAAGATCAGAAATGGATAAATGTACTTTTAAAAAAAGCATTAGATTCCTTAGAAATTAATAACAAAGACAGGACTATAAAATAGGTACAATGTGTGTAGTGGGTACTTATGGGAGGGAGCGGGGTAAAAGGAGATAAAGGTGAGGGAATAGGGTTGATGGACTTCATATACGAAATAGAACAATGAAACCTCTTGCAATTGGTTTAAGTGGAGTGGGAGGGGGTCAAGAGGAAAAGACTAGGGTGATCTAACCAATGTATAATGTAAGCCTATTTAGAATTGTCACAATGGATCCCCCCTGTACAACAAATATATCCCAATAAAAATTATAATAAAAATCTGTACAACGATAAAAAACTCTTTGACTTAAGAAAAGTTCACTTTTTGTTTCCAATATAATTTCTTAGTATCAGAAGGATTATATCTCTTCAATGTGTATGTATAAACACCATGAATATTTTTGAAGTTAAAACAGTTTTAAAAAATTACTTATTGAAGCCAAACCTAGACTTCATTTTTGCCCTTGGGCACATGATATGACACGTGAACACAATCTTTAAGTTTCCCTGAACGATCGCTTGAGTTAGTTAGTGGGATTATAAAGACACTGAGTGAAAAAAAAATGTACTGTACAGTTAATTAATGGATATTCAATAGTCCAGTATAATTTGAATGTGAATACTCAAAAGCTCTTCTTTGCAGCCTTCATTCTGATCTGAGCAATTTTAATTATTGCTTATATTCTCAAGAAGTTTTTGGTTTTGTTTTTAGCAGCTGAGAGTCTTTATTTTCCCATTAAGTCCCCTGGACTTACAATGAGGGTTCTCAGAAGATCTTCATCAGGATGGGAGGCAAATCCACAGGCATAGAGAAACCTCTCCTGAAGGATAATGCTGCTGTCACTTTTGAAGTCCAAAAAGTCCAAAGTGGCTTCTAACGAGTCTGAGGTCTGAGCAGAGGTGACAGAATCCACCAGCTGGGGTCTATAAAAAGCCATCATTGTGGATACCAGTGCTTAGGGGCTTAGGAATTATTTAAAAGTCTACCACTCACAGACTCCCCACTGGTTTGAAGTTCCTAAAGAAGGGTTTTTTTTTTTAATTGAGCATAAAAAGGATTGAAGGTCAAAAAAGATCCTCTCTTCATTTCATTTAAACCTCTCTTAACTCCTTCTCTTCCCTTCCTTCCCTTTCTCCCTCCCTCTCTCTCTCTCTCCTTTCCCCCTGCCTCTCTTTCTCTCAATGTACATTCAGAATATACAAACTAATTCTACCATATTAACTTAAACTAAATATAATTTGGATATTTGTAAATTAAAATTGTATAAATAAAATTACAAAATAGGACAAATTCTTTGCTATACAAATAACACATGAAATCTACAGTCTCCTAAATTGAGTCTTTCCTCCAATTAGCTTTGCAAATACACATAATTCTCAAATGCCCAATTTAATTAGAAAACCATTATTTGATACAAAATATGTAAAATTCTTTTAATTTCATATCTTAGGGAGTTTTTTTCTCTTTTTTTGAAATAAAAAACAATTATGGTATACTTCTTTGTTTACCTACAGTGAATATATGTGATCATAAGGGAACTCCTACAGGAAAATTCTAGTTAAATATTCTAGTCTTGAAATTTCTTTAGTTAGTGGAGTCAGGGATGGCAAAATTTTTGAAACTATAGTTGTCTGTATGTGTATAGCATGCTACATGCTACCTTCATAAAAACACAACAGCCATGTGCTTAATACTTTATACTTTGAAAAATTATATACTTGCACTGTATTATTTCAATCCTATCAAAAACCTAATGAATAAAGCAGAGACAGAGACATAATGCTTATTAGAGTGTCTATTGTTCAAGTACTACACTAGGAATTTTAGGTATACAACCTCTTCATCTTTAAGATAGCATTTAAATAATATCTTTTAAATAGTATCTAGTTTAGGATTGTTGGAAAGATTAAATAATCTATGCAAAACATAAGACTTCTTGGCATATAAGTGATTAATAAATATTAACTTATTAATACTGTTACCTTATTTAATTCATCAAACAGCACTGGCAACTTAATGCTAATATCCCTCTTACATATGAGGGCACAGTCTCAGAGATAAAGAGTCACTTGTTAAAGGTCACATAGCTAGCAACTGGTGTAGCTAAGAGGTTTTTCAGACTCTCAAGTCCCTGGTCACTTACTTACATTGGTGTTTCCCAAAGTGTTATCCCTGAAGCATTTGTCCTATAAGATGCTTTAAGAAAGGGGTTTTCAAAGTCATGTTAGTGTAGAAAATGTGGAAGAAAACGTAAAGAATATTGTCAGATTAAAGACACTGAAAAGTGGGGCTCAGGATGTAGGTCAGCAGCAGAGTGTTTGCCTAGCATGTGCAAGGCCGTGGGTTCTATCCCCAGCGTTATGCAAAACAACAACAACAACAACAAAAACACTGAAAGTATTTGCAATAACCAGAACTATATAACTAGTTTTGCCCAGTGTTCTCCAGCTTCAGTTGCTCATAGAATCTTTCTTCCTCTTAACATACCTGCTAATATCTTTCTTGTCAACTACTGAATGGACAATATAGGTACTTTGGGAAATGTTAAATCTTACCACATGCCTCCCGCTATCCTACAGTAAATGGAGATTTTATTATCCCTATTTTATACATCTAAAAAGTGCAGCTCAGAGCTGGCCATGGTGGCACACACCTTTAATCCCAGCACTTGGGAGGTAGAGGCAGCAGGATCATGTGTTTGAGACCAGTGTGGGCTACATGTGAGACTTTGTCTCAAAAAAATAAGTAAAATAAAGTGAGGTTCAGAGAGGCTAAAAGTGAATGACTTGCTTAAAGGACAAATGTCTCTTAGAGGGAATTAAAGTTAGGTTTATTTAATTTTAGTTCAACCTAGTCTCCTTTCTTCTGCATCAAGCCACATTGTACAACATATGGTATGCTACAATATTGCTTACATAATCTGATCTAGAAAATGCACCGGGTAGTTTGTTATTGTCGCAGATAAGATTAAGGTTTAGAATAATCCCTATTTTAAATTAATACTTAATTTTTACACTTTTTTTCTTGGCTTTGATATTAAGATAAGCCCCTCTACCAATATAAAGTTCTATAATTAAAACAACTTGAGGATTTATGATTCTGCCTTATCTTTCAACTTCTGATTTAAATATCTATTTTTGAAGAGAATAACCAATTTATAGTTAGTCATGTGGAATTACTATCAAATTCTTAATATTCTTAAGGCAAATAAATAATAAATACAGCAAAAATAAATAGGCTTTTAAAAAAAATTCTGTCCTTGGGGAACTGAGTCCTTTGAACTCTGACTGTTGCTCCTGCTGTGAGTGTGTGTATGTGTGTGCACATCTGTGTGTATGTTTGGGTATCTGTGTAACTTGGCCAATTTTTACTTTTGATTATGTTAATGGCTAGTTTCCACTGTCTGTCAAATAAATCAAGCCATGTTCTATAACATTAATTAGGATATATTGGCATTATATAGCTACATTTGTATTTATAGACAAATTTTATCAAATACCAAAAAGTATCAAATTTACAAACCAAATAAATTTGGGAATTGAGTCAACTCTCATTATTACACATGAAAATGAATCACAAATCAAATATTAAATAATGTATAAATTTTTTTATTTAGGCTTCTTGCTCAGTTCTTAATTTCCTATATAAAACATGGCTTCAAGTGGATCTTTACTGAAATCACATTTGCAGCTGAAAAACTCGTATATTTTATTCAACTCTGCAATATTTTCAAGCATAAGTTAATAATTTGGGAACATAATTTCAAAAACAGTGAGGCAGCCCATGTACCAGGGTGTCAAGATGAAGCCTTGGTCTCACCTCTCTATGTTCCAATTTAGTACTAATTTAAAAATCATAAACAGATAAAATGTTCATTGTGACTCACTGGTGAAAACTTACTTTTGCAAGTGACCATTAAGTTACTTCACTATGGCATAACTGTTAGCTATAAATGCCCAACAGCAGAACAACTGATTGTGAAGCAGTTGGTCAAAAGGGATCTTTCTGCTTAATAAAAAATAAGTACTCAGGCTGGGTGCTGGTTGTTCGTGCCTATAATTCTATCTACTTGAGAGGATCGTGGTTTGAGGTCAGCCCAAGCAAATAGTTCAAGAGACCCCCATCTCCAAGGTAACCAGAATGAAATCAACTAGAGTTGTGGCTCAAGCAGTAGAGCACCTGTGAGGCCCTAAGTTCAAACCCCAGTCCATTCAAAATTAAAAATAACAACCTAAAAATGTTTTCCTGACAGACAACCCCACAAAAAATTTGGGGAACTTACAGAACTTCTTTCTTCTCACTCTTTAGGATTTGGAGAATGTCTTCTCTCTTTGCAGTCCTGAGGTGCTGAATGAAGGCCAGGAAACTTTTGACAGCCTCAGATTTGGAGAGGTTTTCAGGCTCCAAGTGCTTCCGAATAGACTTCCAGTGCTCTGAGAGCTGTAAGACATGACTGCAAGCTCGTGCTCCACTCATAATTCTAAGCCTCTCCATTTTCAGGAGCTGTTCTCACCAGAAATAAAACTGTCCTTGGATCTGACAATCAGAAGCTTTTGTATCTTGCCTCCATATGCCTAGTGTTGCCCTGCTTGTGTCATACCTCACGTGAAGTCCAGAAGCAAACACGGAGGTCTGCTGACCCTGTATGCCATGCCTCTGTAGATGGATCTTTTTTGTTTATCAGTGTTGAACTTGAAAGACTTTGGGCAATTGTTAACCAATGTCTGGACATATAGGTCATCCCGAGGCTGCATGACAGGAATCAAATCTGAGGCCAGGCCTTGACTACCCTGGTGAAATTGTGCAAAACTTTGACAGACAGCAGAATTTTAGTTAACTTTTGATTGGAGGGAGAAGAAATAGAACTACTATAAAACTGTACCAGATTTCCAATTTGCCTGCACCTCATCAAAACCCAATTTTTATAATAGGTTGAGCTCCCTATTCTATCATTTGATTGTATTATTTGTATGTAATTCAATAATTTGATGGTATTATGATCTGAATTGTTCACTGTTTATATCTATGTTCAATAGAGTAGTATTTAAATGAGGATAATTCTGTCCCACACACATGGCACTTACTGTACTATGGTTTTAAAAACAGAAAATAATTCTAATTGTTGATCTATCCTGGCTTTGAAACAAACTGAAGAACTTTTCATGTTTCACTACTTTTCACCTGATTGGATGGAATATGTTAAATTCTATCAGTGACCTCAATTTCTCAGACTTTAAAATTATTATGTCTTTTAAAGTATCTCACTGGAGATAAAGACATAACAGAAATCAAAGCCATTGTAGTGCTCTATTTGATCATACTCACAGAAGGGCATCCTTTGCACAGGCTCTGGAAGACCTGACCCACAATGGGAACAGCTGTGTACTTTGAACCAACTGCTTTAATTACAGCTGCAACTTGTTTCCCAGGTATCAGTCTTGGGCCTGCTTCTGTTGTCTTCAGCTCTAATTTCTGCCTGCATAGCACCAAAGAGAAATTTGACATTATAAGCATTCTTTGGAGTTAACAAGATGGTAAGTGCCATCTTTGGCAAATAAGATTCACAGAAATTTATTCAAGTTGTGTAAGTCCAAGCTTCAGTATTTCCAGAGATAAGTGAAACCTCAAGATTGTTGCAAAGTCTTTCTGGAGAGACAATTTGATTCAAAGATTGAAGTTTTTTTTTAAGTCTGGACTTTCAAAATATAAGAGAATACAGGGAAGAAAATCTGCCTGGATGCTACAATAGGGAACATCTGCCCTTTTGAATTGAGTCCAGCTTTCTGAAAGTGGTATTCAATACAATCACATTACTTATTAACCAAGATGCGTAGGAAAGCTTATTTTCAAAAAATGGCCTTAATAATATTTTTGTCTGAAATGCTCTTCCACAACTTTGTCTGACATCAAAAGGCAGGGCCTACATCACTGTCCTAGGACTTGAACAGGACTCTATGACTTCCCTAATAGAGATCACTAGCAGTGACTTTGTGTGGCTTCTGAGGCTATGTCATAAGAAGGAATTCAGCTTTCATCTGGTGCACTATCAGCTTATGTGCCCTGGAGTAGTAAGTTGCCATATAAGAAGTGACTACCTGAAGCTGCCGGGCTGAGAGGCCCTTGGAGACAAAAAGAGATGTGTGAATCTTCTCAGCCCAAGTGCCCAGACTCAAGAGTGAGCAACCTTAAATATTTCCAGCTCTCGCCAATGACTGCAACTGCATACCAGACAACAGGCAAGGCAAGCCCAGCCAGGCCAAAATTATGAGAGAATAACACAGTGATTACTGTTTTATATATTGCTGGATTTGGAGTGGTTTGCTATGTGGAAAATGAAACTCGATAGATCTAGTAAGTAATTAAAACATATATTTTATATGAGAGCATATGAAAACAATACATGGTATGAAGTATAATGCAAAATTCTACTTCAGATGAGACTTCAATAAAATTTCAAGATTTTATAATTTGAGGCACTTGACCCATGATTTTGTACTCATTTGTTGCTGACATTAGGGCAACGTCAGAGGGAATTTTTGAGATGCAGTAGCATAAGATATAATACATTTAATACTGCAAAATGTTCTTTTTAAATTAAAATCTGAAAAGACAACAAGCTCTTTAAAATTCCAGCTCTTTTCAGGGAGCAGGGACTACTTTGGACTCAGGTCCTCACACTTGTTGGGCAGGTGTCTGTCACTTGAGTCACTCTCCAGCATGAAATTCCAGTTCTTAATCCTGTGAGAGCTATTCTAACCAGAGAATTGGTCTCAATTTATGCAACAGGCTTAAATACCAAAATGTTGTAAATCTCTTAAAAAATTCTGTCACATCTTTTTACTATGGAACCTTTTACTTAACAATAATAATTTTAAACATTTCCCATGTAGCCAGGAGCTGGTGGCTCACACCTTAATCCTAGCAATTTGGGAAGCTGAGATTGGGAGGATGGCAGTTCCAGGCCAGCTCAGGCAAAAAGTTAGTGAGACCGCCATCTCAACCAATAGCTGGGTATGGTGGTACACACCTGTCAGCCTGTCATCCAGCGATGGTGGGAAGCCTAAACTAGGAGGATCATGGTTCAAGCTGGTCTGGACAGAAGGAAAGACCCTATCCCCAAAATAAACAGAGCAAAAAAGGTTGGAGGTATGGCTCAAGGGTAGAGCTGAGTTCAAACCCCAGTACCACCACCACCAAAAAGACCTCCCCAAAAGAAATGCAATATTTAAAAACATTTATCAGAGAATTAGAAAAAGACCTAGAATAAATCAAATAGCTTGTCTTTTAAGTTTTATAGTATATTCAAAGAAAAATTGATTTTTAATGAAATTCCATTAACATGGTATTTTCTATGTATTATTATAGGCGATGTGAAAAAAAGATGGACAAGTTTAATCAATGTTTTCAAGGAACTCACAGTTGAAGTGTGTGCACACACATGCACACACATTCATATCTATTTACAAACTAAATATGATAATATTAAAGAAAATTAAAATAAAAATTTTAGCATTGTCTTACTTTGAAATTATTTTTCCTGCAATAGTTTGTAGGAAATTCAGCCCAAAAGCACGAATCTCTTCTGCATGTACAGCTGTAACAAAGCTGTCTTCTATCTCATAGGTAGTAACAGACGTGGCTTTTGAACTGACACCCAAGACCTAAATAAACAAACAAAAAAATAAGTAGCTATCTTTGTAACAAGTAATCCGCTTTCTAATCTTTGTATTGAGTCAAGCAGCAAACTATCAATTTTTTAAAAGTTTCTTTCTTTTTCATTATCATAATTATTGCTGTAGTGTGGGTACATTTTGACATATACAAAAGTTCTTATAATATATCATAGTTGAACTCACTCCTTCCATCATTCTCTTTTATCCCCTACTCCCCCATTCCTGGAATAGTTTCAACATGCCTCATTTTTCCATTTTCATACGTGAGTACGTAACATTGCCACCACATTCACCCTGCTACCTTCATTCACACCTACACATATTTAAGTAACTATATTAATTTGACACATTTGAAACTATAATGTAAACTTCTTATAAGTGTCTTCAAATTACAGCGTTACCTTATTTTTTTATTCTTTTAAATCTCTACAAAATATAATTATTTGCATGCCCCAAAGAAAGATGATACTGTGCCTACCTGATTTGTAGTTGTAAATCCAGGCCTCTCTATTTTACATGAATCCAAGGCCTTGACTTTGACCACTCTGTTTTGCTGAGCCTGGTAAGTCACTTGACAACTCCCAGAAATATCTTCCTGAAAAGAAAAGCAAGAACATAATGCTTGTGATTTGGTGTGAGCCATTTGAATTCTAGTTGATGTGGCTTGAAAACCAAGGTCTCTAATATGCCACCAGGAACTGCTTCCCTGCCTTCCCCTGTAGGACAACAAGCCAAAAAGCATGAAAGAATTCAAAATCTCTTGTAGTGTGTTGATTCTTTCCCACTCTTTCTGGTTGAGTCTTACAGCACCTTCTCTACTCCTCAACAGTAATGCAGGATCTCCTGCTTCTCTCTGAGCCCAAAGAAAATTAGACAAATTGCCTGGCTGTAACTCCTGCCTCTGGCAAACAGGTAATTCTGTGGCAAGGGGAGGTGATTTTTAAGGCATTATCCAGACTGTGTGTGTGTGTGTGTGTGTGTGTGTGTGTGTGTGTGTGTGTGTGTCTGTGTGTGTGAGATTTTGACTAGCTGGGTATGGTTAGAAGTTCTTGAAAATTCTTGGGATTAACTCAACTCATTATTAGTCAAATCAACAATGTGAATTTGGTTAAATATATCCCAACATAAACACTGTTTTGGTTTTACTGAGCTTTCCCCTAGGCCTCTGAGAGCACTACTCCTACCTCTATAACAGTGAGCTAACCCACCTTTCCTTAGCTTAGACCAGCCATGATGTTTTCTTTTCCATTCATGGTCTGGCTGAGTTCAGATTAGGAAGGTTGGACTCCAGTCTTAACTTCAGGCAGGTATGACACTAAGGGATCCATTTAACTTCTCTAATTGACCTCAGTTTCTTCGATTGTAAAATGAGGAGAGTTGAAATAGACTAGTGATTCCCTGCACTGACAATGCATCCAAATTATCTGACAAGATTGTTAAAATACTGATGTTCAGGTCCTCCCTTATAAACTATATCAGAAATTCTGGGGTAAATCCAGAGAATGTTTTTAATAAACTGCCCATAAGAGAGTGGAACACTAGGACGTCAGGGATGATGATCCCCAAGATTTTCTACTTATCTAATGATTATCCTAACTCCCTTTAGTGCAACTTATTCAAATTCCCTTTTTCCTGTATTTAAATAATAAATATTGGAGTAAACAACAGTTATTTCACATATAAATGAGGCATGGCTGTACAACTCACCTTTTCTGAGCACTACCACAGTAGTAACTCAAGAGTTACTGAAGTAGTAGCTCTTCCTCTTCAACAAGTGGAAGTTCTTATAAACAATCTAGTAAGCCTGTTGACAAATAAGATGCTGAATCCTTAGTAATGCTAGTAGGTACCTCATTGGTGGTTCCAGAGCTTAACTGCATCTGAAACAGGCTAGCCAAGCCTCTCTTGAGATTTTCTATGGCCACTGGCTCATTTTGATATGAGTAGAACTCTTTGACCTAAGGGGAGAAAAAGAGAAATAAAAATGAAGTAACCATGTATCATTTATTAGATTTGGTTAAATAAAAGGCTGGCTAGGTCAGATTCTCACCCCTGTTAATTTTGGGAGAAAGTGGTCTGTGAAATTACAAAGCTATGTTTTATTTTTTGTGAAAAGAAGCTACTTAAATTTCTAAGAAGCTAGATCAGCGGGACATGAAATTTAGAGGGCTGGTAATGAAGGTTCTGAACATGATAGACATTGTGAAGGGAAGGAAACACTGTCATAGGCTTAGATTTCTGTGAAAACAAGGATTGTGCAAAGAAGAAAAATCAGGAACATTTCTTTTGAACATGTCACAATGTTCTTTATCTATGACTCTGCCTGAAACCAAAAAAGGTTTAAAACAACAGCAAATAAAAAAGGTTCTTAGAAGAGAATGACAACCACCATACTTGAGAACCCTGAGATGACATGACCTCTGGAGGCTATGCCAAAAGCCCAGGTGTGGTCATAACATTCATGGACAAAATCCAAAGGGGGCAACATTTTTCCAGAGTGGTTATGCCGGCCATGGGTAAAAGGAGATACAGAAGGTAGGAAGGATTGAGGTTAAGGTTGCTCAGGTTGTGCAACTTGCCCCAGGTACTGTTTTGATGTTCCCTTCAGATGGCATGGAAAAGAGGTTGAAATGAGGAGGATGACTGTGATTTGGCATCAATGGTAAGAGGCTTAGCCTTGCCTTATCTTTGACATTTATACACACAGGCTCTTTTATCATTTTGATAAGTTACCCCAGGTATAAAAAACAGACTAAAAACACAAAGAGAACTTTATGGAAAACAGCCTGTTCTTTTTGCTCTGAATTGACTCCAAACACACCACACAGTTTGTAAATACAGGATAGATATGTCTTCCTTGTAAAAATTCCCAAAGTCTATGATGATTATAGTTGAGCATTTCTACCAAAAATATCCTGAATGCCTTCCTATTTCTCTTTAGAAACAACCATGACTTTTCAAATAAAGTTCAATAACTATGTAACAAGTTCAGTTAATAATCAATCTGAAAAATTCAGTCTACATCAAAATCTATCATGCCTTAGAAGAGAATATTTTGCCTGAATTATCCAGACAAATGCTTGAAATCTCTAGTTTTACTTCTACATATACTCTACCTAGTGACAGATTTACTAAATACTTTATCTGACAACAAATTTTAATAATTAAAATGGATAATCCTATAAATATCATAATGGTGTTTGTCCCTATAAAAGTTGGAATAGTGTTGTTTGTCCTGGTTAAAAAGGAACTGGAATAATGGCCTCAGTGTCTGAACATTCACGATATCATATTCTCAAACAAATCGCAGGCAATTTCTCAGACACAAGCTGAGTTTCTGATGTTCTGTATTACAAACTGGGTCTTCTTTCTCTTAGTAGTCATAGTGTGATTTCCTTTGCAAATATTTGGGGGCATAATACTTCTGTGTATCATCCTATTACAGGTTTATACCTGGATTGCTTGAGCCCAGGAAAGTCAGAAGTACATGTGGCAATATGGCTGGTGACTCTTAAATATTTTAGGAAGCAAGGAGATCCATTAAGGGAGAAAAAATTATTCCTGTATAATTATCATTTGTTGCAAAGTATGCTTATTTATTTATACAATTTTACCTAAAATTTCAGGAAACCCAGTTCTTAGGTTTAATTTTGGAGTACACATAAGGTCAAAGGCTCTTCTATTTCTGATGCACTTCCATGAAACAAGTTTGATTTCGATGCTTAGATCCCTAAGAAAATGACGTTACGGCATTATTTTTTATTGGAAGGCTGAAGATTGTAAACTATGAGAAGTTTACAAAGAAGTTTTTAAAAAGTTTTTTACATTCTTTTAATTCATTTTTCATTCTATTAGTTTTTATTATTTCCCTAGAACTAGAAAATGGAGAAATACATTTTTTCTTTTGTATGTCTGCCACTTCTGGGGCCTTAATTCTGTTCCTTTAGAGTAGACCAGTGAGATCCAAAGGAAAGATAGTATTTATTATATCCATATTAGCTAAGTGTCAACATTATTTAATAATAATAATGTTTCAGGTCAACCTATGTGGCTGCCACAGCAATGATCTTAAATTCACTATTTCACAGCAGGAACTGAGTAAATTTTATTATATTCAGTCCATAAAGCTGATTACTTTATTCAGTACTGAAATGAATGCTGAACATGCAAGAGCAGAAGGCTCTTATCTGAACTCACAGCCCCCAGAGTTTCCAGTGAGCAGCAGCAGGCTCAGTCTAGTTAAAAACCATGCTTTAAATCTAGGAAACTAAATCTATAGTGAAACCGGCAGGATTTTGTTAGGCAGGAAATGCAGTGCCTCTTCTGGTCAAATTGGGGTGGGGGACATTTTTCCATTGGAAGTAAGCATCACTTATATTTTTTGTTAGGAAAGAGATGTATCTTTGTATATAGTTCCTTCATTTATATATTCTTTAAGAATAAGAGAAAGTAAAATTATGTTAACTGGCTATATAGCAAAAACAAATTGAAAAAATCCCAACAAATAGGGATTAGTCATTTTATCTTTGATATATGTCCAAGATAAAAAATAGCTAGGAAAAGGCACACTAGAAAAACAAATGGAGAAATGTATGGAAAATTTGAAAGCTTTTGAGGTGAGTTTGAAAGGTATACAGCTCTTCTGGAGGTTCAGTGTGTGTTCAGGCACCATAGTGACAGATTCAGAAAACAAATCAATGCCTGGAAACACCCCAAAATAAGAGGCCAACTCAGCAGCCACATGGTTAATTTAATCAATACAGACAGCTGAAACAGAAATGGAAATGTGCAAATTACCTAGTTAATTGGACTAGCATTTCAGGCCAAGAAAGAATTTATGCTATAACTGGAAGTACCTTTCAATGGTCAGTGTTAATCAACTTAATCAGGTAACTGTCAGCATTTCCAAGTAGTTAGTTAATGATTTGTAGACAAAACTAGAGTTATGCCCAAACTTTTATGTAGGTGAATCAGTGGTCATGCAAAAAAGAAAATGTGCAATGATAGTTCTTTTTCATAATGTAAACATGGAAGCTTAAAGAGGGACTTCTGGAAGGACATGCTGATGAATACCTTTGAAATTACAGAAATTTCTGGTAAAACTTAATTTCAGCCTGGTATAGAAAATACATACCAAGAAAATTGCCTATTAGCAGTTTACCCTGCCTTTGCATAATTCCTTTCATAAGAAGCTGAAATGACAGGTAAAGTAATAATCTTTCTGACAGTGTTGTGTCTGAAATTCTACTTGGCACCTTAGTCTCCAGGGTCAAGTTTTTTATCATATAACTGAGAGATAGGATGATGTACTTTAACCTGTGTCTACACTAAGTCTTCACAAATCATAGCTTTGCTAGAACTGGCACACTGGTGTCACCAAAATAATGGTGTGGCAGCTCCATCCCAGCCTTTGAACAGTGAGGGCACCAAGTTCTTTTGTGTGTGTAACAAAAGACTTTGTACTCAGCTGCCAGCAAGGGAGCTATAAAAAAACTGGATGTCATTAAGATTATAAGAACAATTAATATTTTATGGATTCAAGTGACTTGCCACATGGGAGGCCCAGAGAAGAAAACAACAGTGTTTTATACTGTTAACAAAATTGAGTCATATGCAAATCATTCTTCACACATATGGTGAAAAATGAAATAAGGAATACTACAGCTCAAAGAGGCAGACATTTCCCCAAATATTGTCCAATGACAAGCCAGTAGAATAGAGATATTTGAACATGGACAATTGCAAACTATAGATTCACTACCTGCCAGTTGTGTGATCTTAGGAAGTTTCTTAACCTCAGTTTCTCATCTATCACAAGATGATAAGGCAGCACCTTCATCCCAGGCTTTCACTGAGATAAGAGACAATACATATAAGTCTGGCACCAGTGTCTCACGCCTGTAATCCTAGCTACTTGGGAGGCTGAGATTAGGAGAATTGTGGTTTGAGGCCAGCCCTGTCAGAGAGTTCATCTCAACCAACATCTGGGCATGGTGGTGTAACTGTCATCTCAAGCTATGCCAGAGGCTGAGATTGCAAAAAAAAAATTTGCAAAACCCATTGCAATGGAAAAAAATTTGGTCAGAGGGAAGCTTAACATAGGTGAATCACAGTCTAGGCCTGACTGAGTAAAAGCAAGACCTTAACTGCAAAATAACCAGAGCAAAAAGGGCTAGAGGCATAGTTCAAGAAGTTGAGCATCTGCCTTGCAAGCATGAAGCCCTGAGTTCAAACTCTAGTACAGAGAGAGAGAGAGAGAGAGAGAAAGAGAGAGAGAGAATACATGTGACATCTGGCACTTTACAGGTGCCCAGAATCTTTTAAAAATGATTGGTCAAGTTTTTCTCCAAGTCTGACTTATTTATTCCCTCATAATCTTATTTGCTCATCCTTTTATTTTACAAACATCTCTTGGATTCCTACTACGAGCAGGGTGACAGAGATAAAGATGTAATTGCTTCCCATAAGAAACTTACTCTGAATGTGGACAGCAGACAAACAGAGAGAACACTGTGATAAATGCTTAGATGGAAATAAGGTCAGGGGAGCATGTGTTTGGGGAAGATATTGGTAGTAAAGGTTTTTGGAATTCCAAGTCAATGAGCACAAGGCATGGTTTTGGGTAATTGGGAGTGGGAAGAAGCAAAAGAGCATGAGGTAGGGGAGGAGCAGGACTAGAATATAAAGAGGAATGAGAGTTTTCTCTACTGAAAACCATAATCTAGCAGTAAATATGAATGGCCAAAAGAAAAGTGATAAGAGCTAGAAGGGTGTGGATTTTACAAAACAAGGAGGGTCTGTAAGCAAAGCCTGAAATTGGAGAGTATTTTGATAAGTGGAAAGGAAGAGAAAACATTCCTGAAGATGAGGATTCATATTCGGTTGTAGGAGAGGTGATGAAAAAGATTCCTTCTCCTGAGTCCTTTCATAGCACATTATAAAAATAAAAATGATACTCTGATTAGCAATGTAGAGGTCTGAAATTTCTGTTAAAGTATTCGTTTTAATCTTTATTTTAAATCTATAAAGCTTAATTTTTAAGCTTTGCAGTGTTATAAGATTCTCTTTCTTTTTTTCTACTTTGGTGCCTAAAATTGAGCTCTCATCTTATTGACGTATTTTTATGAATGTCAATAAAATATCTGTAACTTTCACAAACCCATATGTATATTGCCAAATAATTCACTGATCACAATTTCTTCTCAACTCCAAATATATTTAAGACCATTTAAAATAAACTAGATTCAAAACATAAATAATGCCCACTTAGAGAATTTCCTGGTGAATATGGGTGATGTTCTTTCTATATAAGAATGGATACAGAATTTTTAAACCTGTTGAAATCACAATAAGAAGATGACTAAGGTAGAAAGGAGAAAAATGGAGAGGTGAACCAATTCAGGACACAATACATATATACATGGAAATGTCATAGTGAAACTCTATATATAGATATCTCAAACAAAAAAAATGTCTTTTTTCTCAAAAACAGAGACTAGAAAGGTAAAACAGATCCTGTCTGAGGGTTGGTGTCAGTGGGAGTGGGGAGGATATAAGGAGAGGGTGTAGGATGGTGAATATGGTAGAAATATTCTGTGCTCATGGATGAAAATGGACAAAAGAAACCTGTTGAAACTATTCTAAGAATGGGAGGAGGAAGGATAAAGGAGAATGATGGAGGGGGTGAATTTAATGAATTTAACTATGGTACATTATAAGCATTTTTGTAAGTGTTACAATGTGTTCCAAAACAACAACAATATGATAATTAAAAAATAATTTCCTGAGCAGTTTTTCAAATAGATATTAAAGTGTTCATTCATTATTTTGATATATTAAATGCTTTTCCAAGTCATAATTTTAAATATTTTCACAGTCATTCTACCTTAGACATTCCTTGTCCTTTCAAAAGTTTCAGGTGTGCACTTTGGCTATCTATTGATACCCTCATAACAATTTAATATAACTTATCTAAGTTTGGTATTTAATTCTAATTTGTCTACTTTCCTGAATTTATCAGATCACTTGTTGTGTTATAATAATGTTGTAATCTTTCCTAATTTGATAAGAAAAGCACTTTAAAAGTAATGGCTTTTATTAATAAATAAATACTTAATTCTACTCTAAAGATTTTCACAAAAATATGTAAGAAACTAGGAAATGTGAAAATTTGGTGCATTCATTTACTCTGAAAGCATTTAATTTCCAACTTTTCTTTATTAGTTCTTGAAATAATTGCCCTTACCAGAAAAATAGTGACAATGCGATTACCTAAAAATAATTTCTATTAAAAGGAAGAAAAATAGCAAGTTGAAGAAAAAGATGTGCTCCGTCCCCCCAATCCCCTTTACCTTCCCACGGATTAGATGAAGGAGCACAGGTCTTTTCAGAGCTTCCAAGTTTTCCTTTCCTATGATTTTAGGGGAAGTTTTTCCTTTGAAGATGCTCTTCTCTCCTCTCTGTTGATTCACATTTTCCACATTTACATCTGTTATCTAGAGTCATACAAAGAAACCTGCTAAGACAACTTCCCATGTCTGTCTCCATTAGAGTCTCTTAGAAAATAAAATGCTAAAGGAATAGACAAATTAAAGTTGTCATTTTTCAATGCATGATTCATAGGACCTTGCCACTCACTTTAAAAGGGTAGAGTAGGTATTAAAATATTAGATTGTTTGAATTAGGCAAAAATGTCAATGCTTAAAGAACTCTGTGACTCCAGGTTATACTAACTGTGACATGAATATGGCTCTTTTATTTCAAGTTTCTCACTTCACTTGTTTTGAACAGTTGCTGTCTGCTTGATCACTTCTCTTTCTGTGCTGTTTGTCTGAAAGGACCTCTGCCCCATTCTACCCTATTTGTGTACATAAAATTAAAGGTAAAGAACCTAATCAGTGAGCAAGGACCTATATAAATGCTATATGCAGAACAGTTTGCTATTCTTTGATAAATAGATCAGAAAAGTGGGTAAGGATGTCTTGATCTGACTTGGAAACTATAACATTTCTGTGAGAGTAGTCTCAATTGTTTTTCACTTGGCAAACATTGTAGATCCCTCCCTCCCAGGATATCTTGAATGCATTTCAATTTAATGTCCCTATTAATATGAAATATAGAATTAGATATCAGACCCTTATTGCTCACCAGTCTGTATCTTCGAATTCTTTAATAATTTGGAAAAAACAGATCACTTTTGATCAATAAAAACTTAAAAACTGTGGATCTAGTATTTATTTTAGTGAAAGATAACAAATTAATTGCTTATGTACAACCCGTGCACAAACAAGTGTTTTCAAGTGGCACATTTCTTAAAGACTTTGATGACATGTAATCTTTGTGTGTTTGTTTTATTTTAGTAGAAAATGCCCACCGTGATTTGGATCAGTTGGTCATCATCACCATCAGGATTCCTCCACAGTAAGACAACATCTACACTGGATGAAATTCGGTAGCCCACGCTGTCTTGGAGTTTTCCCTTGGCCCGGTCAAGAAAAACTTCAATGGAGTATGTGAGCTTGTAAAGCCGTTCATTATTTAATGAGAGACCAGTGGTGTGACCTGCATAAAAGAGTGCCACAAGTGCAGTTTTAACCATAAGGCACCTGTCAGGCCAGGGGACGTACTGTCTTATCACCAGTGCAGCCCTCTAGCTCAGTGGGAGCTTAGCAAGTGTCTGAGGAATTAAGAATGGCTCTGCTTCTCCATCTGCTGAAACCAGTGACTTGAAAAGCATAAATAAACAAACTCTTATTTCAGAAAACCTGTTTGTATCTCTAATCAATTAAAAGGTTATCTAACTACTCTCCTGGTTGAGAAATGGGACAATTTTTAAAGTAATGCTATTGTATTGCTTTTAATTATGTGAATATGAGTTCAGTTAGGGGTCTTGACAGGAATTGCTTTATAAATATAATAAGAACCATTTGTAATTAAGATATATTTGAATGTGAGCAGTTAAATGCCAGAGTAGTGTTGGCGGTTAAAAGAACAATTCCTTCATTTAAGTATTTTTGGTATTTAAGAAACATCCCTCTACTGTAACTTACTCTATTAATTAGCACATTTTGGTACAAAGAAACATTAGATGTATCTGAATAAAGTGATGTTTCACTACATAAAATCTTAGCACAGGCTTAAATTTGGCCAGATAAATTTAATATCAAACCGTATACAAATCAGTATTGTGAGTCAAGAAAATTCACATATAGACAAGTTCATATGGTTTCCAATTCAATTTAATATGCTTCCTCAAAATGTAAAGAAGTAGGATCAAATCTTTCCCTGAAATAACTTGAAATGTATAGTCATATAAACTCTTTCCATATATTTTCTATGTATGGATCTCAAGAGAGAGTCAAAAAAATTCAATCTATACAGTTTTCCTCAGGGACAATCGGTTGCATTGCCTAGTGCACTATACCAGGCAGGCAACTGTAACTTTTTTCCCCTCAAGAAATATACATGTGGAGAGAGGGACAGAAAAGCTCACTAAACCAAAAGTAAGACAACTGAGAAAGGAAGTAAAATACCTTGAAAAGCCAAAAGATTCAGAAAACCTCTGAGAAGCAGTTACCATCTACACAGTAACAACCTGGTTCACTAGCTTTGCCACCTGCTACAACACGCACTACTCAGAGGAAAAAGTGGTCAGATACAATCTACCCAAGGTCCCTCAGGGAATTAGTGGTGAGACATGATTAGAACACTCACCCTATAGCCCTAGCCACCATGCTCTTACCTATACTATATGCCTCTGAAATTTTAGATTAATTTTTTTAAACATTCTTTGGGGGTGAGCTAGGAACTCATTCATTCATTCCACAAGGGTGTACTGAGTACCCACTTTTCTAGACTCTGAAGTTATACCAGTTTAAAAGAGACAAAATTTCTACCCTCATGGAGTTTGCATTTAAATGAGGGAGAGAAGGGTAATAAAAAAATAAGCATATAAGCAAGTCATCCAGTACACTAATGAAGAAAACTGAAACGCTGAGGGAAAGACCTCTGTGAGAAGGTGAAGGCTTTAGGCCAGCCTCGTGGATATCTTGGGAAGATATCCTTACATCCCCTTGCCCCCTATTCCCACTCCTCCTACTCCCCTTTTTCCTCACAGATGGAGCAGCAAGTGCAAAAGCCCTAAGAAGACCTCAGGAAGGTATAATGCCCAACCAGCAGGGAGGCCAAAGGGTTTGAAATTGAGTAAGCGAAAGACCCAATAGAATGAGATGAGGTGAAATGGGTGCCTAAGGGTGTCAGGAAGACATTTGCACAGACATGGAGTTTGACTTAGAGTGAGGCAGGGAGCTGCTGCAGAGATTCAGGAAGTATCTAGTTTTAGGTTTTAGCTGTTCAAAGAAATGGGATAAGGATTTTTAATAGAAATCAAGAAGTGGCCGGTGAAGGAAGTGTTAGAGCAGGTACTGTGTGTACACAAAAACAAACTGTCCAAACACCAACTCAGGCAGAACATGGGGTATGAGATGCATTAGGGGTATGAAAGTCAAGACTATGACTCTCTCCAGCCTCCTCTATCTCCAGCTTTTCTGCATTCTAACAGGGCATTCTGAAAAAGGTTTAAACACTGCTTTCTGGGCAGGAAAGATATTTTGGCCAGGGAGGTTTTTTTTTTTCTTTTCTTTTTTATGACATCTATCAAATTCCTCATAGGGCAAAAGTAATACAAACTGTCTTCTCTACTTCTCACAGCAATTCTGAAAGGTAAGCATTACATGCCTGCTGACAGAAGCAGACTCCAAGTTCAACCCAACAGAGCAGGTATAATGTAGAATATGATATTTAAATTTACTCAAATCAGACTTTAGAGACTTCATGATATTGTTTTCTCTTTTTGAGGGGGTTTGTTTTCTTCTTTTTTTAAATTTTGGTATTTGCTTTTTCAGATAGGATCTCACTATGTAGCCCAGGCTGGTCTTGAACTCTCGATCCTCCTGCCTCAGTTTCCCAAATGCTGGGATTCTGTGCATACCACAACACCAGCTTAAAAAGTGTCTTCTGATTAAAACAATTATGAAAAATTTTGTAGGAAAGTAGTCTTTCTTAAAGTCCGAACACTATCACGTCATTAATTTTTTTCTTAGTTTGCTGGTTAAATGAATATGAAAAGGAATATATTAAAAAATCAGTCCTTAAGTAGGACTTGAAGGTGATAAGGCACAGGGAAGAAAGGACCTTGTTCTCTCCATGTGTTTCCTACCTCACTCAACAGGCTAAAATGACTGTTCTTTTGCCTGATGTGTAAAACATCTAAAATGGTTTGAATAAGTAGATTGTGCTACAGTGTGGTCCCTGTGATCCCTTCTCTGTTTATGTTATCTGGCAGCACTGTGCATCAGGGCATGTTCCATTTGTATTATTGACTTAATTTCTTTTGGAGAGCATTGCTCTTCGGAGTATATACACAATGGCATTTTGTTTTGGAAGTGATGAAATCAACTATGAAACCTGTTGAAATTGTATCAAGAAGGGGGGAGGGAGGATGAGGGGAGGGATAGAGGGGATGAATTTGATAAAGGTATATTGTATGCATGTGTGGAAGTATCACTATGAATCCCCTTTGTACAACTAATACATGTTAATAAAAAAGATAAATTCACTTTAGTCAAAAAAGGAGTCAATACTTCTTCAATTTGCCCCTTGAGTGCATTTAGAATTTTTGAAGGATGGAAAAAGTTTAAGAAACAGTTTTAAATACTGTACTCATTTACAAAACATTAGGTGAGTGCAACAGCCCTGCTAATTGGCTCAGTAAGAGGACAAGGCAGAAGTAAAAGTGAGGCTTGAAGAGAGAGCTGTTCAGCAGAGATAGGGTGAGAGCAAAGCAGTTAAGAATCCAACAGAGAACTGTGAGATGAGAGAGAGACACACATACACACACAAACATACAGAGAGAGAGAGAGAGAGAGAGAGAGAGATGATGATGAATGTAAATGAATTAATAAGTAAAGGATAGGGTCAGGCACTAAGAGAAAACCAGAAATGATGGAACACTTCAGACTTAAAGTTGACATGTTAAATGGAAAGCAATGACATTATGTAAAGAAAACCTGAAGATGCATTGAGAATCACCCACCATTACAACAAATATTGAAAAAGTAGGGAAACTTGTGACTAGAAAATCCACACTCAGCAGATCATGTAGATCCTCTTCATACTAACCTTCATCCTAACCCTCTCCTCTGTTCTCTCAACACCTATGCAGTCCTTAGGATTTACTAAACAGTTATGTTGCTAACTTAAATTAGAGATGAGTTTGGAGGTGATGCATGGGATCCCAATTTTAGAATGGCCCGATTTAAGGTAGATTCTTCACATGTAGTTTGCTGTTTAAATATTAATCATCACCAGGGCAAATAATCTATAATGAAATCACAGTACTTAATACCAAAGGCTACCCCATCCCAGAGGGAACTAAGTCCTGTACTTTTTATTTATGATAGTTGGCCTAAGCAATTTGGCTATGAAACTAAAGAATCTTAAGCTCAGGCCTCTCACTTCCCAGGCTCCTTCTAAGACTTTGGAAGGGGACCCTAGCAGTGTGTAGACATTCCTTATCTTTTCTCAGTAACCTTTGTAAACGTAAATTATCTTTGTAATCTTTTCTCAAAGATAGTCTCTAAATTGCACAAGCTTCAGGTTCTAAATATCTGGATTTGCCACTGAACTTGTATACAACAAATTGTCTTGTTCTAAAGTACATTTCCCTATGTGCAGTTGTGTGTGTGTGAGTGTGTGTGTGTGTGTGTGTGTGTGTGTGTGTGTGTGTGCATGGATGTATGCATTTAAATCCTTTATGGGAACATTTATAATTTTCTACTTTATAGAATGGGGAAAAAAAAGAAGCCCTAAAGTAACAGCTGTATCTCAATTATTTTTCTCAAAATAATCATGGTAATAGGTTTGATATTATAGTGCTTACATCACTCATATTTCAAATACTAAACCATCTGTTTGACAGATAAAACAGTATGCTGTCCACATAACAATCTCTGTCAGTTGCGTGTGCAGTTGTATGTGTGTGTGGGAGGCATGTGTGCACAGATGTATGTATTTAAATCTTTTAATGGTGCATTTGCAAATTTCTAGTTTATGGAATAGGGAAAAAGAGAAGCCCACAGTAACTGCTGTATCTCAATTATTTTTCTCAAAATAATCATGGTATTAGGTTTGACATTATGGTGCTTAAATTACTAATATTTCAAATACTAAACCATCTGTTTGACAGATGATAAAATAGTATGCTGTCCACATAACAATCTCTGTCAGACATGATTTACGAATCTTTACTTTTTTCTCATTTTTTTTCAGTTAAGTAAGGACAATAAATTGTATGCAAATATTAGCCATTTTAGAAACTGGTAAAAACATTACCTTTAATTCAAAAACCTAAAGTGTAATTTGTTTAGGTAAAGTAAAATTTAACCTTATATTCATTGCTCCAATAACAAAGTTTTCCCTTTCTCCTCCTGCACAAATTTTCCATGTAAAAAAACTTGAGACAAATTTTACTTTATGTCCAAAAAGCCAAATTTATCCCCAATAGGTTTTTAAAGTTTTGAAGTGAATGATTTTATGTCAATTGCTCTGAGTACATAGTTTAAAAACCGAGCTCTATCATGTAAGTTGTTTGTTACATCTATCGGTTTTAACAGGGTGCCTTTTTAAGAGATGCTAAAAAGTGATCATTTTACACAGGGCAACACTCAGAAACCCAAGGAATTGATAATCTAGTTGATTTAAATAAGATTCCATATTAATATATTTTATATAGTCCTTTGAAACAATTCCTCATAAAATACGGGGCTTTTTTTTCTCTTGCCTTTTCTGAGGGTATCAATTTATATATTTTTAAAGTCAATTTCATCTTAAAGTATACACTTTGAGTAGCGACATTACTTTTCCAAAGATAATAAGTTGCACTTCTTAAACGCATATCATGTGGTTCTATTTTCTTTAGTTCACCAACTATGATTATTCTACGACTTTTGAATGGCAACAGAATTACCATTTCATTCATATTTCTTTGGCAAATCAAATGCCTTTTTCATTGGATCTGATTCTTCTTGATGTCTCATTGCTAAGCAACCAGAAGGAAATTTAAGAATGGATTTTTTAAATCCTCTTTTACAATTCAAATGAAGGACTTGCATTTGACCAACAGCAGCAGGTAACAATAGCTGGCATTATTCCCCCTTTAAAAATAGGCCATGGTTGAGAATTTGAAGCAAGAAACACACTGGTCTGAGGAGCCAAAATGAAAAGGATCGTCTGTTTTCATGAAATTGAGGTAGAAAGTTGAATTTGGTTTTCATTTCCACTTAGTCATACTTTTCAGAAACATTCCAAAGTCACATGGTTTTGAAGATGGTTTAGTTAGGAACTCTCAGCACACACACACACACTCACAAACTTTCACCCATAGATGGAAATTAAAATTTAGGAACAGCCAACACAAGCTTACCTTTAACAGAAGCAGAATATGAGGAAATAAAGCAGAGAAAAAGCACAGCAAGGAGAATCATCATGCCTAGCTATCTTCCACTGCATCCAGCTCCCAGCTAGTAGTCTCTGAGAGGTGGACTCTTCTGATGGCAGCCAGCGAGGAAGTGACCCTCCTCAGACCTACGACAATAATGTTTATCTTTGGGGGAAAGGTCAGATTCCAAACTCCAAAATCAGGACCTAAGTTCACTGAAGGGCTCATTATTAATGATTAAACATAGGTGGGCTGTAGTTTTTAGCCTCACTCTTTTTTTCCACTCAATAAGGAAAATCAAGAAAGTTTTCTCTTTTGTGAACTAAACTAAATAAGTCTACCTACCAATAAATGCAGAAGTACTGAGGAACATTCCAAGAAAACTGAAGTTGACACTTCCCTGCTCAACACATAATCACCAACATGCATGCCTTTGATATTAGCTGCTTGTCTCTATATTTCTCAACCTGTATGGGCAGGTGATGAAGATTGTCAAACTCTGCTAAACTCAAGTAAATTTTAGTTTGTTTTCTATGGTCATTTTTGAATATTTATACTATTTGTATGCCATTATAACAATCCACTCTGAATTTTATAATTTAAAACTAAATTAAGTCAAACCACCACTAATTACTTTAATATAATATTAAAGAAGTCAGAACTCTCATTACCAAAACAGATGAGTCTCTTTATGCATGAAATTCTCAGGGGCTGGAGCAAATCAGCCTAGTCCATCATTAATGTGCAGCAGGCCAACTGTCAGAATACACTTGTATTTGTATCTATGACCAGAAACACTTGTCTGAGTCCCCAGATTGACTTGCTGGAATCCTGTAGTTCCAGAATTCCATTTCTTGAGAGTCAGAGGGTGAATCCCAGTTCTTACCACTTTGCTACAGAGTATTAATTAAGAAATTTCTCTAGAATTAAAGAGAATACTCTAGTATAGCTAAAGCCATACTAACTGAGCCAAACCTTGCCGCTGGAAATTCCTGCAGGAAGGTCTGATGTGAACAAAACTTACTGAAATGAAGTGACATGGACAGGGATGCTTTGACAAACAAAGGGCAAAACCGGTGAAGAATTACTTGAGTGTACTTGAAAATACTCTCAGCAGATACAACAGTATGTATTGAAGCTGTTGAAAAAATGGGAGGTGGGGGGAAGGGGTGAGGGAGAGCAATGGAAGGGGGTGAACTGACTAAAGTAAAGTATACTCACAGCAGGGATACATCAAGAAACCTCTTTGAACGCTGACTTAGAAATTAAGAACAAAAGATAGGACTGTAAAGTAGACACAGTGTGTGGGGGGGAGTACTTGTGGGCAGGGGTGAGGATGAATGAAGGATATTAAAGTGAGGGAATACGGTTGATGGACGTCATATTCTTATACAAAGTAGAACAATGAAACCTGTTGCAATTACTTTAAGTGGGGTGGGATGGGGTTGAGAGGGAGAGATGGTGGGGACTATCTAACCAATATACAGTGTAATCCTATTTGGAATTATCATGATGAATCTCCCCTGTACAACAAATATATCCTAATAAAAAAATAAAATAAATACTCTCAGCTGTGTTTCAGTATAAAATGAGTTCTTAAATTTACCTTGGTTCTTCTCAACACCCTTTTACATTCCTAAACTTGAGCTTATAGCTTTTAGACAGCTTAGGTAAAAGCACAGTTAATAGGGTCACAATATGAGATATAAAATTTAATAGTTAAACATATTTCTTCTTGAAGTATATTGGTCATAAAGAATTAAAAGATGAAAGTTCTGGTTGTATCTTTCATTGAGAGAAGAACTTTGCTACCATCAGTTTTATTAGGGTTAAACAAAAAAGGCCATTTTTAGAAAAGCTTTCTTCAGAAAATATAAGGATTTACAAATAGTAAGGATTATATATACAAGGCAATGCAAAAGCACTCTCACCTTCCATTTGAATAGATTTTTAAATGTTCCTGAAATTTCTGTGTTACATACATAGGGATATGAAGACATTATATCACTTAAACTTTACTTACACATTTATTTAAATTAAGGACCAGTTTGCATCTTACTTGTTCTATAAGAACTGTATTTTGAATTTTCATTTGAGAGTCAGTTACTTAGGGACTTTTCAAGTTTGTGGTTAGACTATGTAGTGCATGATACGTGTCGGGTAAAGTACTATTCGTTGTCAGGTGTTTACCAGAGTTCAACCAATAAAAGACATATCACTATTGCCTAATAACATAAGTGCTGTTTCATTTGAGCATTTGATTTCCACTAGAAAGCTCTTCTGAGTCATTGTATTAAGTAGTCATTTGAACAGAGCATGTTCAATGAGGCTGTTTTTATTAGTTATAAATAACATCATCCTTTCACATTTTGCTTCTAACATTTTCTTTTTACAAACACGTTTGAGAAAAGACTTATTACACTTGTTTTACCAACATGAAATAAGAATGACAAACCCTTTCCATATTCAGAAAACTCTGTACCAAATAAGAAGCACTCTTCTTTGTTGCTCTGTCAGCCAAGCAGAGCAAATACAGTGTATATGGTAGATATCTCCTAAGATCCATGGCATGTGGAACAGTGCAGAACCACAGCACAGTATAAAAGCAATAAGAGGTGCCTTCGATGGACTAATTCCTAGGTACAATACACTGTGTTAAATGCCTTACATTTTTATAGTACATCATCACAACAATCATTTTACATATTAGGTTCAGATTAATTTAGTAAACTGCTTTAAGGAATATAGAAAAATAAACCATAAAACCTACATCCAATATTCTTCTTTGCTTAAAAACATTAAAGGTGGGAAGTAGGAAACAGTAATTTCTTATACATGATAAGAAATTGTTATGAGTTGGGACATCTTTTAGTTAGTCCATCACAATTTAATATAGAAGCAAATAAAGCACTGCCAATACAAGGGGAAAGTTGATTTGTGCTAATTAGGACAAAATAGAATAATACATAAAACAATGCTATTGCCATGAAGTCCTTTTGGTGGTACATGGCACTGAAATATTTGCAAAACTGCCATTTTGCTGATAAATACAAACACTCTAAATTATAGGTAGATGACAAGTTCCAAAGTACAGTCATGTTTCTATAAGTATCATAGGTTGTTAAGAGTTAACTTATTTTCCTAGATTAGAAGATAAATGAACTTTACCCCACTAAAGGTTGAAAGGAAATATATCACTCTACTAGATGTAGATATAGAAAGACAGGATGTGTGATAGTTATATGAGAAGAAAAAGTCTATTTATATCATCAGAACACTTTGCTCTGTTTAGAAAAAAAAAAGAAATAATTAAAAAAATTTTTTTTAGAATATTTCAAATTATTCCTAAAAGTGCATAATAGTTTAAAATCTAAGGATATTTTCAATTCAATAAAGGGCTTAGCATTTTGAAAGAATCCTGAAAATCATTTTGTTAGGTTAAGAATATTCTTTTTTTGTGGTACTGAGGTTTGAACTCAGGGCCTCACACTTTCTAGGTAGGCAATCTACCACTTGAGCTTTTCCACCAGCCTGTTTTGTGATGGTTTTTTTTTTTTTTTAGATAGGAACTCACAAACTATTTCCCCAGGCTGACTTCAGACTGTGGTCCTCCCACTTTCTGCCTGCCAAGTAGCTAGGGTTACAGGTGTGAGCCACTGGCACCTGGATAGGTTAAGAATACTCTGGAGAGGGTAAATGAAGAGGGTACTTTGAGTTCAACTCCACAAGACATTAGTATTAAGATTTAAAGAGTCAGTCACCACTTTCTTTGTTCTTCATTCCTTCTTGCATCTCAGATTCCAGCTGGGGTCACTTTTTTTCTGGTTGAAGTATGTTTTTTAAAAGATACCTTATAGAGGGGTCCTTTGGTTGTACATTCTGTTTCATTTTTTTCTGGAAATTTCTGTGCTTCATCTTATTTTTAAAAGGCGTATTTACAAAGTATAGAATACTATACTGACATTTACTGATGGTTGTCTGTTATAAGTTGGCAATTATTTTCTCTCTACACATTGGAGACCTCATTATGTCATCTAAATTCTGTTGACAAAATTAGCAGTTGTCTGCTTCTCTTATTTCTTTATGCCCTTTTACTATCTTGCTCTCTTTGGAATTCTGCACTTTCATTGTGATGTGTCTACATGTGAGTTTCTTTTTAATTATCCTGTTAGAAGTTTATAGATAGTGAATTGGAGCCTGTGGTAGGCAGGAAAATAGCTCCCCAAAGAGGCCCATGTCTTAAGCCCCAGAACCTATGAATACCCATGTTAAGATTGAAGACTTCAAAATGGAAATAGTACCCTGTATTATCCAAGTGAATCCAATATTGTCAAAAGTACTTAAACCTAGGAGCCAATGGCTCACACCTGTAATCCCAGCAATTTGGGATGCTGAGTTCAAGAGGATCACAGTTAGAGGCCAGATGGGGAAAAAAGTTAATGAGCCCTCATCCTCAACCAATAACTGGGTACAGTGGCACACACCTGTCATCCCAAGCTATAAGAGAGGCTGAGATTAGGAAGATCACAGTTGGAGGACAGCCTGCATAAAAGCAGTTTGTAAGACCCCATCTCAAAGGAAAAAAGCTGGGTGTGGTGGTGTGCAATGTCTCTCTCAAACCCAGAAGCGGTGGGAAACATATAGCAGGAGGATTGTGCTCCAGGCTGGCAGGCAAAAATGAGACCTTATCTCCAAAATAACCAGAGCAAAAAGGGCCGGAGGCATGGCTCAAGTGATAGAGATGGATAGCAAGACGGAAGTCCAAAATTCAATCTATACATATTATTTTAAATAGATTTTATTGTTTCTAAAATTTTTAGATTTAGAGAAAAATTGCTAAGATAGTACAAAGAGTTCCCAAATGGTCTATACCCCAAAACCCCTATTTCTAATATCTTACATTAGGGTGGTATATTTGTTAATATTAATTTATTTTTATTAATTAAAAGCCATATTTTATTTAGTTACCTTCAGCTTTTTTGTTTTGCTTTGTTTTTGATTTTGAGACAGAATCTAGCTATGTAACCCAGACTGGCATCCACTTCTGATCCTCTCCCTTCTGCCTTCCAGGTTTTGGGATTACAGGTATACTCTACCAGGCCCTGCTCCCTTTGTTTTTATCTAATCTTTTTTTTTTTTTTCTATTTCA